GTGGAGCATGGATGATGAGGTTGCCATTGGAACCTGGTCGTGCCCTGTGGGAACTGTCTCCTTTCACTCCAGTGTCCAATGTGACTGAAGCTCTTATGCCAAGAAAGCAGCCAGGGGCTGGTGGAATGCTCGCCGCCACTGTGACGCCAGCATCCCATAACACGTGCCAGCTCCTGGCTTGGCCGCAGCCCGGCCACTGTGGGCATTTGAGGAATGAACCGTTGCACAGAGAATCTATCTCCATGACATTATCTGGTGTTCTGCCTTCCCCTCACTGCTCCCCGCCACCAAAAACCCAAAATGAAATCAAAACTCCAGAGTGGAGGGTCCCAGGCCACCAGGCAAGGCAGGGGCAGCGAGAGCTCCAGTTTGTGTTGGAACACCCATGTGCTTTTGAACAAACAAATGTCTTTTGTTTCACTTGGAAGTCATTGACACACAGGCTGGTGTGGATGGAGAGAGCAAGGACCCACCCACTGCGCTGGAAGCCTGGCAGGAGGCAGGCTTGGAAGTGGGGCACTGGAAGCCTGGCAGGAGGCAGGCTTGGAAGTGGGGCGCTGGCCGTGGAGCCAGCACTCACCGGGTGTTCTTACTGGAGACAGCAGTCAGTCCTGGCCCCTGTTGGAAGCGTCTCCCGTTTTGCTGCCTTTATTTGTCTCAGACGAGTGTTATGATGCTCTGCTCGGCATCACTGACAGCTTCAGGTGTCCCTGCCTCGACACGCCACAGTCTGCCGTCCTGCCATGACTGCTGGCTCCGGGACACATCTCCGAGAGGGGGATCAGCAGACTACTCAGACAACTTTGTTCAAGAACATTTTCCTGCCTTGCTGTGACTCCTTGGATGCAGAAGCGTGCAGTGGGGGAGGGATGGGCTGAGAGAGCTGCAAACGAGGGCATGCAGAGGGAGCGGCCACAGGCCTAGGGGTCAGCTGGTGGGCGCTGTGTGGATGGTGGCCCATTGCAGCATCTGCTACTTCACCTCGCAAGGAGGAGCGGTTCTGCTCAGGCCAGCAGGAGTGAAAGCTGGGCCATTGCGTTCAGTGGGTAGCGCAGTTCCCGGGGCGAGGACTGCTGACATTCAGAGCAAGAAGTGGGAGTCAGATTGTGATGGCACGGGGCGTCTGTGGGACATGGAGGTGCCAGCGTGGGTGCTTTTTATGGGGTGATCCCTGTGTGTGGGTAGTGGCCCCTGTGTGTGGGTAGTGACCCCTGTGTGTGGGTAGTGACCCCTGTGTGGGGGCAGTTATCCCTGTGTGAGGTGATCCTTGGGTGTGGGGTGATCCCTGTGTGTGAGGTGATTTCTGTGTGTGAGGTGATCCCTGTGTGTGAGGTGATTGCTGTGTGTGAGGTGATCCCTGGGTGTGAGGTGATCCCTGGGTGTGAGGTGATCCCTGTGTGAGGTGATCCCTGTGTGTGAGGTGATCCCTGTGTGTGAGGTGATTTCTGTGTGTGAGGTGATCCCTGTGTGTGAGGTGATCCCTGTGTGAGGTGATCCATGTGTGAGGTGATCCCTGTGTGTGAGGTGATCCCTGGGTGTGAGGTGATCCCTGTGTGTGAGGTGATCCCTGTGTGTGAGGTGATCCCTGTGTGTGAGGTGATCCCTGTGTGTGAGGTGATCCCTGTGTGTGAGGTGATCCCTGTGTGAGGTGATCCCTGTGTGTGAGGTGATCCCTGTGTGTGAGGTGATCCCTGTGAGGTGATCCCTGTGTGAGGTGATCCATGTGTGTGAGGTGATCCCTGGGTGTGAGGTGATCCCTGGGTGTGAGGTGATCCATGTGTGTGAGGTGATCCATGTGTGTGAGGTGATCCATGTGTGTGAGGTGATCCCTGGGTGTGAGGTGATCCCTGTGTGAGGTGATCCCTGGGTATGAGGTGATCCATGTGTGTGAGGTGATCCATGTGTGTGAGGTGATCCCTGGGTGTGAGGTGATCCCTGGGTGTGAGGTGATCCCTGGGTGTGAGGTGATCCATGTGTGTGAGGTGATCCCTGGGTGTGAGGTGATCCCTGGGTGTGAGGTGATCCCTGTGTGAGGTGATCCATGTGTGTGAGGTGATCCATGTGTGTGAGGTGATCCCTGTGTGTGAGGTGATCCCTGTGTGTGAGGTGATCCCTGGGTATGAGGTGATCCCTGGGTGTGAAATGATCCCTGTGTGTGGGGGGTGATCCCTGAGTATGGTGGGTGAGTCCCAGGATGGCCTCTGCCCCACCGACCTCTCCTGGGTGTGTCTTCCGACGAGCTGCCACAGCGGCCCAGGGAGCCTCGCCTGGGCAGAGTCAGGTAGAGCCTAGGGGCGAGGCCGGTGCTGGCCCTGCAGGCTGCTCACCCTGGCCCTGGGCTTCTGGCCTCAGCTCCCTTTTCTGGCTCAGGCCTGCATCTTCCTCCCTGCTGCCTTCTCAGCCTGTTCCCTTAGGCTGGGGTGCCAAGCTGGGAGGTGCACCATTACTCTGCAGTGCGGGGGCGTGTGCGGTGCCGCTGACTCATCGGGCACAGCCCGGGACAGTGGAGCTCTGGTGGTGGTGGTGGGGAACGTGGTGGCGAACGTGGCGGCCAGCCCACTGGGCTGCACTGGGCCTGGGGGGCTGAGCATGCACACAGGACCAGCAGGCAGCAGCTCCCCAACTCCGCGCTGGGGTCCAGCCTGTTTCCCGTGGCGACTGGGGCGCTAGGGGTTGGGAGGGGGAGCTGGTGCATTCCGGAGGGCAGCGCTGCCAGGGACCCGCAGGGCACAGAAGCCTGTGGGGACGGTCTTTGCTCTTGGCACCTCCTATTCCTGGGGGACCCACTCTTGCAGGAACACCTTCCAACCTGAGCAGCACGCTTCCAGGAGCTGCTAGCGTGGGCAGCCTCTGAGTTCTGTCGCTGTTGTATTAGCTGATGTTTTTTCAAGAGATTTTGCCTGTCAGAGTCCTGGGTCAGATAAAGTACATTGCAAGCTGGGAGACAGGGCGGGGCTTAAGACGAGGATGAACTGAGTGTGTGCTGGGAAGCAGGGCCCAGCACAGCCAGGGAGCATGAACAGTGCTGGCACAGGCAGCGACTGGGGAGCACATCGCCCTGAGTTGGGGGGCTCCCCGGGACCTCTCACAGGACTCAGTATGTGGTTGTCCTCAGGTTGGGAGGTGTCACAGCCGAGGTTGCATGGAACTGACGGCCTGGGGCGAAGCCAGGCCCCCATTTCGGCTCCAGAGCAATCTTGGCGTACGCTCAGTCCCCGAAGAGAAGCTTGGCCACCTGCATGGAAGCCTGCTTGAAGTTCCTGAGGGACTCGGCACCTCTGCCTGACCACTCAGGGCCTGGTACCCAGCCTTGTCAGCAGTGGGCGGCAGTGGGCGGCGGTGGGCCAGCGGTGGGCCGGCGGTGGGCCAGGCAGGGGGCCCGGGCTGCTCTCCAAGACTCTGGGGTTTCCAGCTAAGACCTGCAGATCGAAGCTGTGGGCCTTGGTACGCAGCATGGATGAGTGGGGTTGTCTCTGCAAGGGCCAGGCCGTTAACCCCATGGGCACAGCCATCTTCCTATCACCCCTGGGGACAGTTCCCAACCTTGACCCTGATCCTGCTGCCACACTGCTGGGCCCTGGCAAGAGGCATTCGGGGAACACACCCAGTCAGCTGGAACTGTTGTTGGGATGCGGACCAGGTGCATGGCGATGTAGGATGACTTTTGACAGTGCTGTGGCGGGTTGGGGTGGCCTGGCTGAGGCCATGGAACTGCTGTGAAGCCAGACCTGTGAGTTGTAGCAGGACTGGAATGGAGCGGGAGGTCCTGGGCAGTGGAACCAGCAAGTGGTTGGTTCATCAGAGGCTGGGGCGAAGGCCAGGCTGGGGCTGGCCAGTGGGTGGGGCTGAAGGGCCGCCGGGCAGATCCCACGGAGCCTTGTGGCCCACCAAGGAGACAGGGCTTTGTGTGCACAGCTGTGCAGGGGGAGGCAGATGCACTCGCAGCTTTTGGAATCGCACGCTGAGCCCGTGTGAGATGGCTTGGGGCACGCGGCCGTCAGTCCAAGTCCTGTGCTCTCAAGCAGCAAGGACATGAGATGCGATAGCTGTCAGCCAGCCCACGGCCTGCATGTTGAGTCCAAGTGGGTGTGACATGTCCACCGGGCTCACTTGCATGTAGCTCCCCGCCTGGTGCCTCCTGCGGCAGCACAGTCGTGGGCCCGCAGCCCTGTGAGTTGGCTTCCCTGCGATCTTTGCTCGCAGCTTCAGCACCTGCCCCTCTCCCCAGAGCACCAAGGGCCACCTGCCCGCCTGCCTTCAGCTGCTGCTGAGTCCTGGACAGGCAGTACACAGAGTCTTGGAACAAAGGGCTTCAGTGGCTGACACTGGTGTTCTGGTAACCTGTTATTGAAGTTGTAATTTATATGGCAGCATTTAATGGAAGTGTGTCCTTGGACGCAAATTAGCAGGAATAAATTGCAGCATGACCCTTCTGACCGGGCGGGCGCCCACGGCAGGCCCTTCTGACCGGGGCTGGCAGGCCCTTCTGACTGGGCGGGCGCCCACAGCAGGCCCTGGCTGTGAAGGCAGTGAAGGTGCTGGGGGTTGGGGGAGTGGCAGGCGAGCTCAGTGGGTGGCTGTGGGGGGTGTGGGCCAAGGAGGGGCTCAGAGCTTACTGAGGAATCCATGCAAATTCATCTGGAGTTCGGCTGCACCCCTTCAAGCGGGGTGGAGTGTTTAGGTGGGAACAGTGGGTCTGCCTGGAGATCCTGGGAGGGCGGTCTGTGGGGACTTGGTAATTATCAGGGACAGAAAGCAGTCCAGACTGGCACCAGCACTCATCTGGGCTTCAGGCTCTGCTTGATCAAGATGCTTGGGTAGGACCTCCTGGAGCCTGCTTTTCTCTGAGTGGTCCTGACTCTGGGTCCACCCCACCAGCTCTGTCTATGGTGGGCAGGGAGGGATGGGCGAGTGTGCCCCTGGGGAGCAGGCAGCAGGTGCTAGCTGGGAACAGAGTTGACCATGCAATAACCTTCCTTCCTCCGCAGGTGAGGCGGAGCATGCGTGGCCAGAACACACGCTCGCCGTGGTGACCGCAGAGTGCAACTGGCCTCAAGGGAGAAACGCCAGCCGGAGCCAAGCTGGAGAACCTGGAACAGGTCCTGAAGGTGAGTTGATAGGCTCAGCGACCTGGGACTGGAGGGATGCACTGCCACCGGCTCCACCCACCATTGGTGCCCAGAGCCCTGGGGGCCGCATCCCCCACTTGGCTGAATACATGCAATAAATAGCAGTGGGTGTGCCTCGTCAGTTCTGGGGATGGTGGGTGGTGCCCCTAAGCAGGATCTGAGCGTGCAGGCCAGGCTCGGGTGTCACATCATGGACCTTGCTGTGCCTGGCCTCTGCCACGCAGGGATTATCCAGGGTGCTGTACCTGGCGCCTGCCCCATCCACAGAGTTGAAGGCACACGTGGCCATGTATACCAAGACCAGCCACACTGTGTCCCCATGGAGACTCCTGTTCTCCCTCAGAGCCTGAATGTGACCATGTGGGAGTGGACAAAGAGCACGTCCCTAGGGGCAAGGCCAGCTCCCGGTCCTGACCCTCGGCCAGCCACGGCAGCCCTGGACTGGGACATGGGTAGAGGGGCCCGCTGGCCTCCATCCTGGTGTGGTGTGTTTAGTGAGAGCAGCCTGACCCGGCTCGAGTGTTTCCATCCATTGGGAATGTGGCTGCACCTGCTGGGAGCCCGCGGCTTGGGTGTGAGGGCGGGAGCAGTGCCGGGAGACCAGCTCCAGGAACACCCTCCCAGCGAGTGGAGGGTGCCTGGTCTCTCTCTGGGGCAGAGCTGACAGCACAGGCTGTCTGGCATGCCAGTGAAGTGAGCCTTCAGTGACAGCCAGTGCGCCCACGCCAGGAGGGGACTGGAGGAGCACGTCCGTGGGAACCCAGCACAGAAATTCCTGACCCAGTGCTGGACTGCAAAGCCCATTGATGAACTGTTTCATTTGTAATACCTTACGGAGTCCCTCAAGCTGGCCATTAACTGCAGGCTTTCCCATGTTCCATCCTTCCCTGCTTTGCTGGTTTTCCAGTCTTTGTTTTCACTTTGATTGGAAGGGCGAGAGAGGGAGGGAGGAGGAGGGGATGTTGAGAAGGAGCTGGCTGGAGGGAGGGAGACCTGCCGTCCTCTCTTGCACTCTGACTGCAACAGGCGGGCAGCCAACCAGAGGCAAGGCTGAGCCCAGTACTCCAGCTCTCCCGGGCAGGGCGCAGCGCCCAAGTGCTTGCCTGTCACCTGCTGTGTCCCAGGGTGTGCCTGAGTGGGAAGCTGGACCAGAAGCAGAGGTGATGGGAATCAAATCAGGCACCCTGAAGCTGGGCCATGATCCCACTGCTGCTCTGCACAGCTCGGAGCCACGCCAGGGTGCAGTGATAGACAAGAGCACTCGCTCTGTGCGGGGAGCCAGGGAGGGGTGTGACACTGACGCTTGTCTGTGGATGACCCGAGGGGGGACACATGTTACAGACGGGGGAAGGCTGTGCCAAGGCCCGAGGAAGGGAGTGTACAGCGCAGACCCCAGAGCCGGAGTGCCTGGGTCCCATCCAGCTTCCCGTCATGCAGACCCTGGGTCCAGCCACTGCCCCTGTCTGAGGGGTCCCTGGAGGCCCTGGACCAGCCACTGCCCCCTGTCTGAGGGGTCCCTGGAGGCCCTGGACCAGCCACTGCCCCCTGTCTGAGGGGTCCCTGGAGGCCCTGGACCAGCCACTGCCCCCTGTCTGAGGGGTCCCTGGAGGCCCTGGACCAGCCACTGCCCCCTGTCTGAGGGGTCCCTGGAGGCCCTGGACCAGCCACTGCCCCCTGTCTGAGGGGTCCCTGGAGGCCCTGGACCAGCCACTGCCCCCATCTGAGGGGTCCTTGGAGGCCCTGGACCAGCCACTGCCCCCTGTCTGAGGGGTCCTCTTGGAGGCCCTGGTCCAGCCCCCTGTCTGAGGGGTCCTTGGAGGCCCTGGTCCAGCCCAGCTGGTGTGTGCATGTGAAATGGACCTCAGTGGATAGATGCTCTTTTTTTCCTCTTGTTGTGTCGCTCAAATATTTTTTAAGAAGAGTAGTGGATTAAATGCTGGCCAGGAATCAGCAAAACTCTGGTGCATTTTAAAGATATTTATTTGAAAGGCAGAGTTAGAGAGAGGCCTTGCAGGCACGGCTTGTTCCTCAGGCCTCTGCTGTTCTGTCGGTGCCCCCACACTGACTCATCAGCTTGGCAAAGCAGACGTTGCCGTTGGGGTGTGCACCTGCTTGGCCGCCACGCGGGAGGTTGCAGGAGGCCTGTGGTCTCGCGGCTGTCACGGCTCTTCTGGCCACTAACAGCTTCCTTCCCAGAGCTAAATAGAGACCTCTCGGGCTGCGCTTGGCCACGCCCACTTCCAAAATAAAGACACACAAAAAGTGTTGTAATGAGGCAGCTGTGATGGGCAGTGCTTGCCTGCCCGAGTCTGCTTTCGGCTGTTGTCAGCTGCCCCCAGTGGAGGTGTGCACCGGCTGGGGCTGCCTTCCCTGGGCCTGCCAGCCTGGTGTGGAGCAGTGACCACGGCCCCACTTCCAGCAGCAGATGCTACCTGCGTAGGCTTGTCAAGGGCCTGGTGCATGGCAGGGAGCTGGCATATAGTAGGCACTTAATATAGGACCCTCATGAACAGGCTTGGTAGACCTCTGGAGCCTACTAGGTGCTTGGTAGCTGCCAGCCGTCCTCGTCTCAGTACCGCCATCTTGGGCAGGTGCTGGGAGAATTCCCCAAGGTCCTGGGAGCGCAGGGAATTCCTGCTGTCTTTCCGGCCTGTGTCCACCATGGCCCAGATGCCTCGGCCCATGTGCCGTCACTGGGTGCTCTCCTGCACTGGGGGTGGGTCGGGCAGGCTGAGGCTGGCAGGGAGAGACCGCTGGAAGGTGCAGGGCCTCAGCTGGCAGGTCCAGCTCAGCCACAAGGAAGGGGTCACACTCAGACTGAGCAAAGTCTGCCTTCATGCCCGCTTTGCTTTTTAAAGGATTCCTTTATTTGAAGGAGTTACAGAGAGAGAGGGAGACACGGAGAGAGCGGTCTCCATCCGCTGTTTACTCTCCAGATGGTCACAGTGGTTGGGGCTGAGCCACGCGCTTCTGCTGAGTCTCCCACTTGGGTAGCAGAGGCCCCAAGCACTTGGCCTGTCTTTCCCTGCTTTTCTGAGACTGTTAACGGAGCTGAAGTGGAGCAGCCGGGCCCTGAACTGGTGTCCATGTGGGATGCTGCTGTGAGCAGCATTACCCGCTGAGCCACTGCTTCTCTGTTGCTCTCTGAATCTTGTGGGGTGACTGAGGCTGTGTGGGCTCTTGCACATTCTCTGCCCTTTGCAGGACAGGCATGGGCTGCTGTTCCTGGAGCCTGCCCGGCGAACTCGGGGACCGTGTGCGTGCCCTGCTCCTATGTCAGTGAGAGCAGGCTGTTGGAATGCAGTGGCAGTCTGTTTTATGGGGCTTGGTCACAGTTTGGGGTTACTACGTTCTTGTGAGTTTCCATAGCAATAGCAGAACTGGCATTGCCTGCAGCCGAGTGCAGTGACCAGCCTCTGGGTTAACTGGAGAGGGGCGAGGCCTGGAGGTTGTTTCTGCATAGTACAGGCAGTACTGGGCCAGAGCATGACCCAGGGGAAGGCACAGGAGGGCGTGTGCACCCGCTGGGCTGGCCCTGCCAGCGTCCCACCTGGTGGCACAGGAGGGCGTGTGCACCCGCTGGGCTGGCCCTGCCAGCGTCCCACCTGGTGGCACAGGAGGGTGTGTGCACCCGCTGGGCTGGCCCTGCCAGCGTCCCACCTGGTGGCACAGGAAGGCGTGTCCAGCTCCTGGGAATATGGGAACATGGACAGAGCCCCTCCTCTTGGTCTGTCCACTCTGCCTCTGTGCACAGGTCTGGCTGCCAAGGCCTCCTGGCTCCCCGGGGGGTTTCCTGGAGTCACAGTTAGAACCCGGGGGTGAAGGGGGCACAGGCATGGACTCTGGGTTCTAGTCCTGGATGGACATCTGCTCACAGCTGTGTAATGGGCTAGGACCACTTCTCTGCCTCCATGTCCTCTCAAGATGGTGACAGTTGGAAGACCTGCCTCCTGCTCTCGTATTGAGCACCGTGTGGCTCAGCAGGCCTGCATCCCTAGAAGGCTGATAAACCAGGGCTGCTCTCTGTAGAATGCCCGTGGAGGGAGCTGGCTTGCTCAGGACAGGGGAGGGGCAGGTCCACTGCACGCAGGTGCCCTTCCCACCCTACCGTCCTTGTGGCCGCTGGAGAAGCCCGGGAGCAGGGGGAGGTGGCACCCTGTGCTAATGGCTGCTACTGGGAGCTGGGCTCATGGTACACGCCACTGGCTCAGTGGACACCCCTGTTCCCCAGCACATGCGAGAGGCTGCTGACCGGCGGCAACAGCTGGAACTGGAGCATGAGCAAGCCCTGGCCATCCTCAACGCCAAGCAGCAGGAAATTGACCTTCTGCAGAGGGTGAGTGGGCGGGCCGGGTCCCTGTCTGCAGGGGTGAGTGGGCGGGCCGGGTCCCTGTCTGCAGGGGTGAGTGGGCGGGCCGGGTCCCTGTCTGCAGGGGTGAGTGGGCGGGTTGGAGCCCCTAGTCTTCAGAGGGTGAGTGGGTGGGCTGGGTCCCTGTCTGCAGGGGTGAGTGGGCGGGCAGGGTCCCTGTCTGCAGGGGTGAGTGGGCGGGCCAGGTCCCCATCTGCAGGGATGAGTAGGCGGGCTGGGCTCCCCGTCTGCAGGGGTGAGTGGGCAGGGCGGGTCCTCATCTTCAGGGGGTGAGTAGGTGGGCTGGGTGCCTCTCTCAGGTCCAGAGGTTGGGGGTTGGCATCTCCTGCAGGGTGAGGCACCGTAGGTTTTCCTAGGTTGCCCGCGCCATGGCCTGTAATGTGAGACGTGTGAGTAAGATGCCTTCGCACCAGGCCGTGGTGACATGCTATGTGGGAAGCAGCCTGACCTGAAAGTGGACCCTGCAGCTGCCTCTGCGAAGGGGGCCCCAGGGGCTGGGGGCCAGGCCAGAGGGTCCTTCTTTGTGTGGGGCTGGGGAGGGGCTCAGGATGGCCTGATCCCCCCAGAGGAGATGCTTCCATGACCTGTAGCATGCAGGATGTCGGGGAGGAGAAGCGGTGGCTTGCATCTGTTGGCCTGAGGCTGCCCATGATTGAGTGAGCAGATCTGGGTGTACACACAGCCCACAGCCTGACCCACTGCGGAGGGACGAGAGGGAGAAAAGATGAGAGGAGGAAGGAGGGAGGGAAGGGGATTTGGGGCTGATGTGGGTCTACTGAGCCCCCGGGGCACAGACGTCAGTGGGCACATCTGGGAAGGGGTGTTGGCACTGGCCGGGTGTTGCCGGCCCTCTGGCTGGTTGTCCCACTGTGGGATGAGGGTCCTGGGCTGCTGAACGATCCCACTGATGGACGCAGCTTACAGACACTACTGGTAATTAAGTGACCATGAACTCTGAGCACTGCACAGACGTGTACCCAGGGCCTGCACCTGCTGGGCTGCAGGGCTGCCCTCTGCCTGCCGATGAGAGCTCTGCCCTTGAGTCCCCCCACGCCCCCGGATTACTCCCCTGTGCTTCAAGGTCGGTCAGCTTGCTGAGGGGCAGTGACAGCAACCCAGGGACAGGAGAGAAGGCCTGTGGCCATCTGCAGGCCTGTGGCTTCACTGCTGGTGGGAGCTGCTGGCACCCCCCCCCCCAGGCTGCTCCTGAGGTGGATGGCGCCGGGCAAAGCCAGCCGAAGGTTCCACTGTGTCCTTGGCGGTTCTGACTTTGGTTGTGTGGACAGCAGGTGTGCGCCCCCACCCACCACACTCCATCGGGCGGCACCTCTGCTCTTCCTGGCAGCCCCCAGGCTGGTCCCCACTTCCATAGCGTCCCAGGAGGACTCTGCCATCTCTACCATGTTAGGGCTGTGAATTAAGGGGTCCCCTCAGCTGCTCTACCACGGTGCCAACCAGAAAGATACCACCCGCTACCCTGCTCCATTCCAGCCCCAGTTACCATGGTGCCCACATGGCTCCTGTTCAAGAGGCCAGCACGGAAATGTGCCCCCCTGTGGGCACTCCTGTCGCCTAGCCCATCACACCGGGGCGTCAGCGTGATGATCACGCCTCCCACACACTGCCAGTGGCCTGACAGGAGCCTGGCTTGGGATGGCTGAGATTCTATAAGAACTTGGCTCTGCCCGTTTCACTGCTAATTTTAACCGTCTATTCCAGTCGCCCAAATGGCCCCGCTTGCAAGCAGGCTGCGAACGCCGCCTGCCGACTGGCATTGCTGCTGCCAGCTTGGCTGCTGCTGCCAGCTTGGCTGCTGCCGGGGCCCCAGGCAGGTTCTGGGAGGGCTTTTCATCCATCAGCCAGATCAGCGCGGGCCTTGTGTGTGCGGTCCCTGTGTGTCCTCCCACTGCTGGGCTTCCTGGCTCCTGAGTGCCCCTCTGGCTAGTTTTGCTTTGAAAGGGGCGGTTGGAAGCTTGGGGCAATGGAGCTGAATCCAAGAACATTGTCATTATCGTGCAGTGTCTGTTTTCTTGCCTGGCTCTCGGGAGGGACCACGGAGGGCAGCATGCGGGGCCAACCCTGGTCTTACGCTGGCTTCTCACGTTTGGTCTGTTGCGGAAGCCAAGCTCCTCCCAGCCCCACCCTCCACCTGGCCTCCTTCCAACCCCCACCCCACCCTCTGCTCCCTCCCACCCCCACGCGGGCTCCCTCCCTCCCAGCCCCCACCCCACCCTCTGCTCCCTCCCACCCCCACGCGGGCTCCCTCCCTCCCAGCCCCCACCCCACCCTCTGCTCCCTCCCACCCCCACCTGGGCTCCCTCCCTCCCAGCCCCCACCCCACCCTCTGCTCCCTCCCACCCCCACGCGGGCTCCCTCCCTCCCAGCCCCCACCTCACCCTCTGCTCCCTCCCACCCCCACCTGGGCTCCCTCCCTCCCAGGCCCCCAGTCTCTATCCTCCCGCTCCCTTCCCATTCTCCCCTCCAAACCCCAGCCTTGTCTCTCCCAAGCCCCCCTCCTGTTCTCCTGGTCCCCCAGCTCCCACCCAGGCTCTCTCCCAGCCTCTACCCCCCCTTGTGGGCAGGAAGTGGCACTGCCCAGGTAACACTCAGTTGCCCATGCCCATGCTAAACAAATGGCCTTGCTCCAGGGCACCTCACTCCACTCAGCAGCTGCCCAGCAGGTGCTTGGAGCGGAGGGCACTATCCTCTGGGGAGATGGGGCGCCTGGACAGGGTGTGCAGGGTCCAAGGCATCCCCTCTCCTCTCCCTGCAGCACACCCCAAGCTGCTGCTGACCGTGGTCTCGCTGTCTTTAAATGGGATGGTATGTGGGTGAGGCTTCTGGGTTTCAGGTGTCCCTTTAGAGGGAGCTTTCATGGGACAGGACCCTGACACAGTCTGACTTGAGACACAGCTGCAGCCAGGCCCCACAACTGTCGTGGCCTCTGGGTGCCTTATTCTCTTGTTTCAGGTGGAGGCCTGCCTCATGGTGCCAAGATAGTTGCCACAGCTCCAGCCTTTGTTTCTCTTAGGCCAGAGTCCCTAGGACAGGCACCTCTCTGTCTCAGCGTTCTCAGGCAAAGGCTTAAATCTGCTTGTGCTTCCAGCTACCCAAGTGGCCTGGAGCCATACTCACCCACTCCACATGGGGGAGCATGCACCCTGGCACACCCGGGGTTCTTCTGGGGCAGGCACAGCAGCAGGTTAGACACTTCAGGCTGGGAGAGGACCACGTACTAATGCTGCAGTTCAGTTTTGTATGAATTTGCCCTTGGACCTGGGCATGAGATCCTGCAAGATGCTGCCCTTCCCGCACAGGCTGGAAGTGGAGGAGCCTGGGGTGCCCAGGGCGCCCCCCAAGGAGGAGGTAGAGGAGCCTGGGGTGCCCAGGACGCCCCCAAGGAGGAGGTGGGGGAGCCTGGGGTGCCCAGGACGCCCCCCAAGGAGGAGGTGGAGGAGCCTGGGGTGCTCAGGACGCCCCCAAGGCTGGAGGTGGAAGGGCCTGGGGTGCCCAGGACGCCCCCCCAAGGAGGAGGTGCAGAGCGTGCTGTGTACTCTGGGCATTCCCACCCTGGCAGGGCCTGGGAAGACCAGGAGACCCTCGGTCTATGTGGGGAGAGGTTTGTAGGGCTCGGCTGTGCCCCTCACCTGTGGGCATGTGTGTGGTCTGCTGTACCTGACTCTGCCCTCACCTTCAGGTCCCTCCCCGAGGGGGCAGGGCCTCCCCACCCCTGCAGCCCTGCAGCCTGTCCTGCGCTCTCTCACAGCCCTGTGGATGGGCAGGTTCCTCTGGGCTCTGCAGCTTGCTGCAGCCCGGGCTCAGCATTTCCCTGCAGCCTGGAGGGGCCAGAAGGTGAGAAGCCTCAAGTTGAAGGGCTCGTTGGGGGCTCAGTGATGCAGCCTCTGATGGTTCCAGCTCGCAGCAGCCCCTCGTTCTTTCTCCTAACGCTGTACCTGTTTGTCTTTCTCGCATACAAAAGGCTCAGGTGGAAGCCAAGAAGGAGCACGAAGGTGCTGTGCGGCTACTAGAGGTGAGTGACCCTGCAGACCAGGGCCCCGGGGTGCCTGCTGCCCTGGCCCCTGCTGCGTGTGTCAGTGCTGTCCTTGCAGCGTCCTCTCGCACACGAGCAGTTCATGCCCCAAGCCCCGGCCACGTGTTCTCACACACGGTGTGCTCTCTGCCACAGGCCACGGGGCGAGTCCGAGGAGGGGTGGCTGCCCGGGGCCTGGGGGTACATTGCCCTCCTTCCATGGCACAGGGGCACCTGGCTGAGGCAGATCCAGAGGCAAGAGGTCCTAGGGGCAGCCAAGAGGCCAGGATGGAATGGGTGCCAACCCTAGCCAGGGGGGCTTGGAAGGGAGAGCTGCTATGTTCTACCAGCTTGTGTAGCGTGCTGGGAGTGGCTGCTTCTGGTCCAATATCAGGGTCCTTGGAAGAGGGTGGACGGGCAGGGAGGGGAAGACCTTGGGTTCATCCTGTGGGTCTGTGCTGCCCATGTCCTTTGTGCCCAGTCAGTGGGCAGCAGCAAGCAGCTGGGCCTGCCGCCTGCTGTGGCCTTCATTGGCTCCTGGTGGCAGGGACAGGGGACTGTGTATGACCCAGCCTGGGGCCATGCCCCATCCTGGAGGACTGAGGTCTCCAGGTCCAGGTGAGGAGCCCTTGTCCGTTGACCCCAGGGAGCAGTGTCCATTTAGAGACGTGGAATGTGGGTCTCAACACTGCCCTCCTGCTCCCCATCACGCACCACCACGCGTGCTCCGGGAGTGCTCTGAAGATGCCCATGAGTTACTGTCTGTCTAGTGGGGAATGTGCCATGGGAGAGACAGAACGTGTGCCCTGGCAGAGTGGAGGCTTGCCCTCGCGGGGCTGGGGTCTGCCTGCTGGGACTCTCATTGCCCAGAGCCTGCTGGTCCTGTGTGTGGTCACAGAGTGTCCTGCGAGAGACCTCTGCACGCTTCCAGCTCTGGTGGCTGCGGAGCTCTGGGGTGGTGTGGGCGTGCTGGGAGGAGCCTCCCTCTGACGTGCATCTCTCTGCCCATCTTGCTTTGCCTTTGCCCAGAGCACCCTGGACAGCATGCAGGTATTCGAGAACCGTGCTCCCTGCCCGTACATGCTGGTGCCTACCCTTCCCAGCTGCCTGGGACAGCTGTGAGCCCCAGGGCCTGCTTGGGCTGCCTGGTGAGGGATGCTGAGCAGGCCCGGGGCACACGGCTGCACGTCCTTTGCCTGGGCTATGAGCTCACTTGGTGGCACGGACCGTGGGAAGAACCGGGGCTGGGTCTGATGCCACCCTGGGGCCATCCCGGAGGTGGGTGTGGACACTGGAGTTCATGCCCGCCTTCGTTGCAGCCCTTGCTGCTCTGTCCCTGTCTGCCCCACATGTAGCAAGTTTCTCCAGGGCAGGGTGGCAGCCCCGGCCAGGCCTCGTCCAGGCCCGGGGACGGAGCAGAGCTGAGCCTCGTGGGAATGCCTGAGAAGGGGCATGGCTCCCAGTCCAGGGCAAACTGAGGCACAATGGGCCGACTGACTTTGCTCGGGCTGTCTCGAGAAGGGACGAGATCCACCAGACGCTTCCCATTGTCTCCTTGGGCAGGGTGGGGACGGTTCTCTTGCTGCAAAACTGTCACTCTGGCTCAGTTCCTGCGGCCCTGGGGGGCACCGGCCGAGCAGCCCTCAGCCGCCCATTGGCACGCTGGTGGGCTCTTGTGTCTAGACACTTGCTGATGTGGTGGACTGTGTCCTCAGGGCCGCCCCCTCCTCATCGCCCTGATGAGAGGGTTTGGACTCCGAGGGGGTGGCCCTGGTGCCCGAGCACACCTGCTGTGCGGTGACCTGTAAGGCGAGCCCAGTGGTTAATGCAGCTGTTAGAGGCAGAGTCAGATCCTGAGGACGCAGTGCGCCTGGTCTGGTCACCCGACACACGGAGCCCAGTTCTGTCAGGAAGCCGTGTGCCAGGAGGTTCTCAGAGCCAGGGTGGCCGGGCCCTGCTGCCCGTGAGCGTGCTGTGGCGCCGTGGGTGCTGGGCACCCTGCCTGTGCGGTATGCGTCTCTGGGGGTGTCTTTAGCAAGGCCACCCCCTCACTGCTTCGCTGTGTGCCTTGTAGTGTGGAGGGCCCACAGTCGGCAGCTCCTACTGCCCCAGGGCCATGTTTTCTGCCCCGCTGCCCTCTTCCCATGAGCACAGGCTGGGTGCAGCCAGGCACTCAGGAGCTTGTCTGCTGTGTCCTCAGCTTGTGAAAATAGCATCTCATTCTGGAATGTGGATCTGAGTCCTGGCTGCTCTGCTTCCGATCCAGCGTGGGAAGGTAGCAGAGGAGGGGCCGGCGCGTGGGCCCCTGCACCCACATGGGAGACCAGCAAGAAGCTCCTGGCTTCAGCCTCGCCCAGCCAGCTAAGCACTTAGCTCCACCAGCCCCTCTTTCTGCCGAAGGTTTAGGAAGCTGGCACCGGCATGAGGCTGACAGCCCTGCTGCAGGCTGACTTGGCGTTATGCTCGTTTGATCGGGTGCCGCTCTGAGTTGGGGTGCCTCCAGCACTATCAAGGCTACAGACAGTTCTGGCACCCCTTAAATACCACCGCTCCTCAGGCCCACGTGCCTGACGCCCCTGGGCCTGCTCCCTGTCACTGTGGCTGTCATATCAGGTCTGATGTGAATGAAGAGCTGTGTGTTATCACACCTGTGGGTGCTGTCCCCTGTGCATCTGCCAGGGCTGCAGGGTAGGCGCACAGCATCGCTGGGCTGTCAAGGGACAAACACAGAACACACTCGGGACACGCGCAGACTGTCACTGGGCCATCTCAGGGACATGTGCAGGACACGCACAGACCGTCACTGGGCCATCTCAGGGACATGTGCAGGACACGCACAGACCGTCACTGGGCCATCTCAGGGACACACTCGGGACACACACAGACCGTCACTGGGCCATCTCAGGGACATGTGCAGGACACGCACAGACCGTCACTGGGCCATCTCAGGGACACACTCGGGACACGCGCAGACCGTCACTGGGCCATCTCAGGGACATGTGCAGGACACACTCAGGACATGCACAGACTGTCACTGGGCCACCTCAGGGACACACTCGGGACACACACAGACCGTCACTGGGCCATCTCAGGGACATGTGCAGGACACGCACAGACCGTCACTGGGCCATCTCAGGGACATGTGCAGGACACGCACAGACCGTCACTGGGCCATCTCAGGGACATGTGCAGGACACGCACAGACCGTCACTGGGCCATCTCAGGGACACACTCAGGACACACACAGACCGTCACTGGGCCATCTCAGGGACATGTACAGGTCACATGCAGACTGCTGCTGGGCCATTCTGGCTCCTCCCCACCAGCACCTATCTCCCCTGCCACCAGAGACACCTGCAGCTCATTGTGGGTAGTGCAGGCATGTCTGGGGCTCTGCCTGCCCCCATGTTGGCCCATGGTGGCCTCTGGCCCTGCTCCTTGGCCAAGGGTCCCAGGGTTCATGTGGGCTTAGGCAGTGCCCTTGCTTGGCCCAGGGGACCCTACTGCTGGGCTGGGCCTGTTCCTGGGGCTGTGGGTGTTGGCCTGCTGTGCCTGCAGTTCCCAGCACTGGCACCTTCCTTGCTGGAGATGGCTTTTTTTGGCCAAGATCATTCAGCTTTTTCTAAAAGAAACTGCTGGTTTTCTTTCATGAACTGAAGAAATTAATTACAGGCATGGGTGTTGTTAGGTTTATTTTGGGGAATCTGTGCTCTCAGACATAAATACTGCTTCCTTCTGGCGGGTGAGGCTGCAAGGGCCAGCGCCCGTGGTGGAGCCAAGCGTGCCACCTCCCAGCTGTCCCTGCACTCGCGCACCAAGCCTGTTGCAAGTGCTGGGACGAAGGCAGGGCACATGAGCATGCTGGGACCGAGCTCGCCCTCACTGGGGGAGCAGGTGGCCGGGCCCGGGGCAGGGGAGGTGAGCACCCCTCTGCAGCCTACGTGGCATGTCTGGAGCACCTTTGGGTGTCTGATTCTGTGTCATGCTCTGAGGGTCCAGTGGTGATGGGGAGTTTTCAGCTGTGAGGTGCTGGAGCAAGCATGGGGGGGCGGGCCAGGAGGCTTGGCTGCCCGCTGTGTGCGGCACCTGTGACAGGAGGGCACCTCAGATGCCCTGGGCCACAACCAGGATTTGCCTGACTGTCCCGGAGAGAGCTTGCTGCATCCCCCTTCCCTCTGTGGGTCCTGGGATGTGTCTGTGATGTCAGTGAGGTGGTCCTGTTGCTGACCTCAGTTCCCCAAGATGAGTGTTCCTTGGAGTTCTCCTGTCCTGGACCAGGAGGGTCGTGGGCCCGTGCCGTCCCGAGCTGGGCTGCTGCAGCCCCTGCCAGCTGCCAGCCATGACGTGCCAACTGCACGTGGGCCCCAGAGCAGTGTGTGCTTGGCTGGGAGCCAAGTGTGTGCAGGACTCCTGTGCCCATTTGTGGCCACCAGCCAAGCTGCTTGGGATGCTGGTTCTCCTGGCACCTTTGCCACAGAGAGGAAGGGCTGGGAGGCAGCTCCTGGGCACCCCCTCAATGCACACACACGGCCCTCCTGGACAGGTGTGTGTGTCCCTATGCACACACAGCCCTCTCACACATGTGTGTGTATGTGTTTGTGTGCCCATGCACACACCCAGGTGTGTGTGCATGCCGTGTGTGTGTGTGTGTGTGTGTGTGTGCACGGCCCTCCCACCCAGGCCCCATGCACACACAGCCCTCTCACACAGGTGTGTGTGTGCGTGCACGCCCCATGCACTCACACGGCCCTCCGTAGCACTAGTGTGTGCATGTGTGTACATACACGTGCAGGCACACACACGTGCCTGTCCAAAGCACTGATGGAAGAACAGGATGAAGAGTTCACCTTGACATGAAGATGTGTTAACATGCATGAGAGGCCTCCCATCAGCTGTGTTTTCCAGAGACCTTTGGAAAACCCCTTGTACACGTGTGCCAAAACAAGCACCTTTAACGTCCCTTTCCACAAGCTTTTAGAGGCATCTTCACATAGCACGTGTGTGCACACATGTACGCCGTCCACACACGTGTGCGCACACCCACCCCGCCCGCTGATCTGTGTCTACCTCCACCACGCAGTCCAAGGTCCGTGAGCTGGAGCAGAAGTGCCGGGCGCAGAGCGAGCAGTTCGACCTGCTGTCGCGGGACCTGGAGAAGTTCCGCCAGCACGCCGGGCACATCCACCTGCTGGGCAGCAGCCCCCCGGCCGCCCGCAAGCCTTTCCCGAAGCTCATGAATGGACTGGCCCCGCCCATCGGCAGAGGTGAGCAGGGGCCCACAGGTGGCTGCTGTGTGGAGCACCTGAGGCGTGGGGCGGGGCACACAGCTGATAAGCCTCAGACTGGAGTTAGAACTCTGAAGCCAGTGTGGCTGCGGCGTCTACACCAGCACGGGCTCCCAGCGAGGCTCGGGTGTGGTTCAGTTGCCTCCTCCTTCCCGACAGCCTGGGCACGGAGAGCCTGGAGCTTCTGCCCTCCCCAGGGCACTGATGAGCCACAGTGGGTCTCAGCCCTTGCCCAGGTCTCGTGGGTCCTTGGGGCAGGGGCCATGTGAGTGGCAGGATGGAGGTTCTGTGGGCTGAGAGTCCGTTAGTGCAGAGCTGGCGGTGGTGTCAGGCCCTCCCCTGGGGGTTCTGTGAGACAGGCCACGTGCTGTGTCTTCTGTGGCGGGAGGATGGTCTCCCAACTGTCCCTGCTCCCCTTCCCCCCACGTGCAGGCAGTGGCAGTCACAGCGGCCTTCCCAGACATGGGGGACAAGGCTCCTGTGCCTGCCCTCTGGGTGTGTGACTGCTGAGGGTTAGTCAGCCAGCAGGGCAAGTCTGGGGGGAGCACCTGACAGTGGGCGTGGCCCGGGAAGAGCACCTGACAGTGGGCTGCTGCCACACCGAGTGACCTCACAGGGCCCTCCTGAGGGTGCCTGCTCAGGGCTCCCCCACTGTGCGTTGTGCATTTTCTAAGCTGGCCCTCTACATTGGCACCTCTTTGCTGTAATTAGCACGTGCACAGCCTCTGGTGTGACAGCCGTGGCTGAGCTGTCTTGCCACACAGGAGCCTTGGGCGGAGTGTGAGAGCTGCCTGCCACAGTGCCTGCTGTGCCCGGGCCTGCTGGTCCACGCCTCCCTCCCTCTCTACCCCGTCTCCGTGGCTTTGGCCTCACAAAGCCCCCGTGTCACCAAGTTCGGGCAGTGTCTGCAGCTGGTGGTCTTCATGGGGCTCCCTCCCCGGGACTGGGCCCACGGCTCAGCCCGGTGCGGGCCACAGTGCTGGGGTCACACAGGGAGCAGGGTGGGCAAGCTACTTCTACTTTCTCCCTCTAACACTACGGCAGGTTTTAGCAGTAAACGAGGCCCCATGGCTGGTTAGGGCTCTCCCAGCTGTGGGTGACAGCAGAGCCAACCTCTGGTGGCGTGGGCAGGCCCTGTGCTGCTCCTCATGGCTCCTCTTCCTGGTGGTGGCCACGTCCAAGGCCAGGAGCCTCACAGTGAGGGATGGGAGGAGGAGCAAGAGTGGGGACCCTGACAGGAGGCAACTAGAGGGCAGGTGACATTTGGCCTTGAACTTCCTGCCTGCTCTGCCTGCTGCCAGGTCAGGAGGGCACAGCTGGAGGTTGCCCTGTGACCGGAGGAGGGGCCTGGCCTCTGCCGCTCACCACTGAAGCTGACAAGCCCACCTGCCCGTCGCCGCCTGGGGCCCCGAGATGCAGGTTTGAATCCAAGGTGAGGGGCTGCTGGGGTATGGGGGCCCCTGGGGCTTGGTCAGCATTAGCATTGCGAGGTCATGGGGAGTCCCGATGGAGGTAATACCACAAAGATGTGTCCAAAGTGGGGAGCAAGTAAGGACCCCCCCCCCCACTGGGCAGAAAGCAGGGGGCCAGAGGCAGCTCACTGGACCCAGTGCCACCCGGAGTGGGTGGGAGTGAGGCACTGGGGAGGGGGCAGGGCTCTCAGCCATATTGAGAGTTTTCTGGAAGCCCTGAGCAGCTCCCACGTGTCAGAAGGTGGGCTTCTCGCAGGACTAGCTGCCAAGGGCGCAGGACTCGAGTGGGGCCCCAGCAGGTCACATGGGGCAGGGAGCGGTTTCCGTACCCGGGTCCCTCCCGTGTCCTGAGGCAGCCGTGGGTGGCACGGCTGGGACAGCTGCCGAGGCTGATGACCTTGATGTACCTGTGTCGTTCGCAGATGGACAATGAGAGGAAGTCCAACACCTCGAAGCACAGCTACTCAGGCAGGGTCCACTTATGTGTGGCCCGTTACAGGTGAGCACGCAGGGCCACAGCGCACCTGAGCCAAGACACCCCTCTGGCTTCAGAGCCAAACACAGTGCCAGATGCGGGCAGCGCCAGATGCAGGCGGCACTGGACACAGGCAGTACCCGATGCGGGCAGTGGTGCCCCGTGAATTGGCATCAAGTGTTGGAGCCAGGCCAGAGCTGGCCCTGCCTGCTCCTCACTGCCTCCCCTCCCTGAAGCCAAATCAACCCTAAGGGGCTATGTGTCCCATGCTGGCTGGCCAGCCACAGGAGAGCCCTTCTGAGTGCCCCGGGCTTTCTCAAGAGGCCCTGCAGGCCAGGCTGCAGCCACTTGGCATATCCCAGGTAACGAGCAGGCCAGGCTGCAGCCACTTGGCATATCCCAGGTAACGGAGCAGGCCAGGCTGCAGCCGCTCGGCATGTCCCTGATGGTGTCGCCCAGGTAACGGAGCAGGACCCGGCTCGTCCTGACCCTCACCTTGGCCACCACAGGCAGATCCGTGGTGCTGTGGCTGCTGACCCATTGTTGTCATTTTGCTGCATCTGGCTACCACCTCCAGATTGTGTCATTTTGAAAATGTATTTTTTTGGCAGTCACAGAGAGGAAGAGACACACAGATCTTCCATCCACTGGTTCATAGCCTAGGTGGCCACAACAGCCAGGGCGGGAGAAGGAGCAGGGGCCGCCTGTCACCCACAGGCAGGGGCCTGCAGCCTGGGCGGGCGCAGGAACAGGGACCATGGTCTCACTGTGATTAGGCTACAGTGCTGGCTTTCTCATCTTGCTGGGACGAGGCGGGCAGGAGCACCGAGTCAGGCTCCTTCAGACTCCCACTCCAGAGCTGGGAGTTGGGGTGGCTCCTGGTGCCCGGTGGCAGGGCTGGGGGCTGCCATCTCCCCACAGACCACTAACGAGCTATCTGCGTGTCTCCCCCTAGTTACAACCCCTTCGATGGCCCCAATGAGAACCCAGAAGCCGAGCTGCCCCTCACGGCTGGGAAGTACCTCTACATCTACGGAGACATGGACGAGGACGGGTTCTATGAAGGTCTCTGCCTCTGCCACCTCAGGGCTCCAGCTCGCCCATGTGGGCCAGCCCCCTCCTTGGAGGCACAAGGTCCTTGTGGTCTCTGTCGGGGAAGCCAGGCAGCGTCAGCTCCCTGCTGCTCTGTGTCCCCACGCATGGTGGAAGGGCCCCGCCAGCCAGCCCCCGGTCCCCACAAGAGACTGGTCCGTGGTGCATCTGGCCCTGTTGGACAAGGGTGTGGTGCTGGCACTGGCCTGCACTGTCGTGGCTCCTTGGTGAGGCCCCTGGGTGACCCATGACCCAGTGTGGCAGAGCTGTCCCAAGCTGTCTGGTTGGGACGCAGTCCCGTTTCTTGCCGAGGATATAAGAAGCTGCCATGTTCCTCCCAGAGGGGTTCCCCCCTTCCAATCTTCTTGCCCCAGCACCCACAGGTCCCCAGCTGGTGTCCCTGCTAGCAGGGCCAGGGTCCTTCTAGGTGGCCTCATGCACGATGGCCTGTGAGCCCCACAGGCCCTCACCTGCCTCCCGCAGAACACCCCCTCCCACAGGTGGGGTCAGGGAGGTGGGTCCTCAAGTGGCAGGGCTGGAAGTGCTGTGGGTTGGGCACCAGCATGGAGCATTCAGGGCTGCGTGATGCCTCTGTCCCCACATCCCATCACCACCATCACCCCACATCCCACCACCATCACCCCACATCCCACCACCATCACCCCACATCTCACCATCACCATCACCCCACATCCCATCACCATCACCCCACATCCCACCACCATCACCCCACATCCCATCACCATCACCCCACATCCCACCACCATCACCCCACATCCCACCACCATCACCCCACATCCCATCACCATCACCCCATATCCCATCACCATTACCCCACATCCCACCACCATCACCCCACATCCCACCACCATCACCCCACATCCCATCACCATCACCCCATATCCCATCACCATTACCCCACATTCCCACCACCATCACCCCACATCCCACCACCATCACCATCACCCCACATCCCACCACCATCACCCCACATCCCATCACCACCATCACCCCACATCCCATCACCATCACCACCCCACATCCCACCACCATCAACCCATATCCCATCACCACCATCACCCCACATCCCATCACCACCATCACCCCACATCCCATCACCACCATCACCCCACATCCCATCACCATCACCCCACACCACCACCATCACCCCACATCCCACCACCATCACCCCACATCCCATCACCATCACCCCACATCCCATCACCATCACCCCACATCCCACCACCATCACCCCACCATCACCACCACCCACCATCACCCCACATCCCATCACCACCATCACCCCACACCCATCACCACACCCCACATCCCACCACCACACCCCACACCCACACCATCACCCCACATCCCACACCATCACCCCACACCCACACCACCATCACCCCACATCCCATCACCCACCACACCCCCACATCCCATCACCATCACCCCACATCCCACCACCATCACCCCACATCCCACACCATCACCCCACATCCCATCACCACACCCCACACCCACCACCATCACCCCACATCCCACACCACCATCACCCCACATCCCATCACCACCACACCCCACACCCCATCACCATCACCCCACATCCCATCACCACCACCCCCACACCCATCACCCACCACACCCCACACCCCATCACCACACCCCACACCCACCCACCACCATCACCCCCCCTCCCACCACCATCACCCCACATCCCACACCACCATCACCCCACATCCCATCACCACCATCACCCCACATCCCATCACCATCACCCCACATCCCATCACCATCACCCCACATCCCACCACCACCACCCCACATCCCACCACCATCACCCCACATCCCACCACCACCCCACATCCCATCACCACCATCACCCCACATCCCACACCACCATCACCACCACACCCACCACCACCACCCCACATCCCACCACCACACCCCACATCCCACCACCATCACCCCACACACCCATCACCACCATCACCCCACATCCCACCACCATCACCCCACACCCCACCACCACCACCCCACATCCCACCACCACCACCCCACACCCCACCACCATCACCCCACATCCCACCACCACACCCCACACCCACCACCACCACCCCATACCCATCACCACCATCACCCCACACCCACCACCACACCCCACATCCCATCACCACCATCACCCCACACCCATCACCATCACCCCACACCCACCACCATCACCCCACATCCCACCACCACACCCCACACCCACCACCATCACCCCACACCCACCACCACCATCACCCCACATCCCACCACCATCACCCCACATCCCACCACCATCACCCCACACCCATCACCATCACCCCACACCCACCACCATCACCCCCACATCCCACCACCACACCCCACATCCCACCACCACACCCCCCACACCCACCCACCATCACCCCACATCCCACCACCACCATCACCCCACACCCACCACCATCACCCCACATCCCACCACCATCACCCCACATCCCATCACCATCACCCCACATCCCACCACCATCACCCCACATCCCATCACCATCACCCCACATCCCATCACCACCATCACCTCACATCCCACCACCATCACCCCACCTCCCATCACCACCATCACCCCACCTCCCATCACCACCATCACCCCACATCCCATCACCACCATCACCCCACATCCCATCACCACCATCACCCCACATCCCATCACCACCATCACCCCACATCCCATCACCACCATCACCCCACATCCCACCACCATCACCCCACATCCCACCACCATCACCCCACATCCCATCACCACCATCACCCCACATCCCACCACCATCACCCCACATCCCACCACCATCAACCCATATCCCATCACCACCATCACCCCACATCCCATCACCACCATCACCCCACATCCCACCACCATCACCCCACATCCCACCACCATCACCCCACATCCCATCACCACCATCACCCCACATCCCATCACCATTACCCCACATTCCCACCACCATCACCCCACATCCCATCACCATCACCCCACATCCCATCACCACCATCACCCCACATCCCACCAGCACCCCCTAATGCCATTGCTGTCACCAATGCCCTCATTTCCCTATGTTAACAGACTTTATGGTGTCAGGTCACATCACAGGTCCCCTCCCCCTGGCCTCCTGGGCCACTCAGCCTCTGCAAGGGACCCCAGGTAATGGTTTTTCCCAGCTCTATGTTGGAGACGCAGGCACCAGCCTGGGAGCCTGTCTATTGTGCTCTCGCTTTCCTGCTGGGAGTCAGCAGGTTTTGGGGGTGAGACCCCCTCCCTTGGCCAGCCACAGGAGCTTCTGGGATGACTCGGTTCACCCAAGGAGGGCCTGACACCATTCACAGTGTCCTGTAGTGTCAGCTGCACTCTGGCTGCTATGATGGACCTTGTATCTTGCAAGGGTTTGTGAAAACCACAGTAGGCTTTTTTCTGTGGTCTCAGAGCCACGGCCACGGTCGTCCTTCTAACAGGTCGTTAAGCACCTGCCACAGGCAGGAGGCTGCAGAGCTGGTCATTCAGTCAGTGAGAGGGCCTTGCCCTCAGGAAGCATCCTGGCTTGGAGGCGCAAGTGCAGGCCCACCCTACAGGGAAGGGGTGGGCACCTGGCGAGCCCAGACAGAGTGGTGGCAGGGGACTGACAGGGCATCAGAGTGGGTTCCTGGGACAGGCTTGTTGCTGCGCCCTGTGAGGAAGCCATGTCGAGTCTGCTGCAGGGAACACGGACCTGGTGGGACAGCTGGGTGGTGCCTGCCCTGCAGGGGGTGGTGCTGAGGGCCGGACAGCGGCTGGGTGACCCTGTCCTTGTTTCTGACAGGGGAGCTCCTGGACGGGCAGAGGGGCTTGGTGCCCTCCAACTTTGTGGACTTCATTCAGGACAGCGAGTCGCGGCTGACGAGCACCCTGGGGAGCGAGCAAAACCTCGCCAACCAGCCCGGTCTCGGCTTGGAGCGGGCCGACATCCTCGACCTCCACTCCCCGACCCACGTGGACTCCGACCTCCCCAGCAACGGCGCGGGGACGCTGGACGTGGACCTCGATGACATCGGAGAAGACACTGTGCCTTACCCTCGGAAAATCACCCTCATCAAGCAGTTGGCCAAGAGTGTGATCGTGGGCTGGGAGCCCCCGGCGGTGCCCCCGGGCTGGGGGACTGTGAGCAGCTACAACGTCCTGGTGGACAAGGAGCCCCGCGTGAACCTCGCACTGGGCAGCAGAACTAAGGCCCTGGTCGAGAAGCTCAACATGGCCGCCTGCACCTACCGCATCTCCGTGCAGTGCGTCACGAGCCGGGGCAGCTCGGACGAACTGCAGTGCACGCTGCTGGTGGGCAAGGACGTGGTGGTGGCCCCCTCGCAACTGCGGGTGGACAACATCACTCAGATCTCTGCCCAGCTCTCCTGGCTGCCCACCAACAGCAACTACAGCCACGTCATCTTCCTCAACGAGGAGGAGTTCGACATTGTCCGGGCCGCCAGATACAAGTACCAGTTCCTCAACCTCAGGCCCAACATGGCGTACAAGGTGCGGGTCCGGGCTCAGCCCCACCAGATGCCCTGGCAGCTGCCGCTGGAGCAGAGGGAGAAGAAGGAGGCCTTCGTCGAGTTCTCCACCCTGCCCGCAGGTGAGCCGCGTCCCCTGTGCTGCCAGGATGTTGCCCTGTCCGCCGGGAAGGGCTCTCCTGTTGAGGGCGTCCCAGGCGTTCTGTGTGGCTGTGGTGGGGTCCACTCTGGGGCTCCCAGTGTGTTCCAGCTCGTAGCTGTGGTGGGGTTGGGCAGTCTGGGTATCCTCTCCCAGGCTCCTGGTTTGCTGAGGGTCTCTAAGCCAGAGTGGGCGAAGGTGGCACCAGGAGCTTCTTCTCCGAGTGTGAAGTCAGCGGACTGGACACACGCATGACACGTGGGCACATTCTTTGCAGCACACCGTGCGCCCCTGGGCTCGTGGCCTCCTCTGCCGGCGGCAGGAGGACTGCAGGGCGACACTGTGCTCGCCTCTCTCTCTCCTGTGCAGGCTCAGTTCTCCAGGAAATGCTGTCACAAGTCTTAGATGTTACAAATCCATCAGGGTGCTTCAAAAAGTCCATGGAAAATAGAATTCAAAGATCGCGTATTTTGGTGCAAAAACATGTTGGAATTTGTTTCTAAGACTTTCAGAAAGTTCGTGGAAATGGCTATTATGAAAAACTCATTCATGGATTTCAGGTTTTTTGCTTAGACAGAGGTCTGTCTCATGTCTGTTGGTTCACTCCTCAGATGTGCACAGTGGTTGCTGGCTGGCTCCGAAGCTAGAAACCAGAACTCAGTCTGTTGCTCACGGTGTCGGGGACGAACCCTAACCCTGGGCTGTCATTGAGGCATCCAGGAATAGGGCCTACTGGCATCCTGCGCCCTGTGAGCTGAGTGGCCTGTTGTTTCTGGCCATCTGGTAGACCACTGGCAATTGGGGAGGCGGTCACGCAGTTACAGGGCTGGCACTTGTGGCCAGGCGGTTCCCGGGACAGGTCCGGCTGTGGGCAGCAGCTGGGGCTTCTGGGAATGAGCAAGCCAGGGAAGAGGTGGGTGAGATGGGCTCCCGAGTCCTGCTCCTCAGGCACCTGACATCGCAGGAACCTGGCCACTCATCTCCCTTTTGGCTCAAGTCAGTGAGGGACCAAGTGGCCGCCCGAGGCACCCAGCAGAGGCGGTTCCATGGGCCGGGGACCATGGGGGAGGTGGCGTGCACATAGGGCAGGGGTGTGTGTGTGCAGCCGTGCCCGGGGGAGGGTCTGTTCCCCCCTGGTGGCTTGTGGGAAGGCGCCTGGATCCAGGTGAGATGGGCTGCGCCCAGCAACGCCCCATCTGGTCACACAGGGCCAGCTTGGAAGCTTCTGTCCCTTGTCTCCTTTTGCAGGCCCTCCGGCACCCCCACAAGACGTCACTGTCCAGGCTGGGCTCAGCACGGCCACAGTCCAGGTGTCCTGGAAGCCCCCCATGCTGACTGCTGCTGGGCTCTCCAACGGTGCCAATGTCACCGGCTACGGCGTGTATGCCAAAGGGCAGAGGGTGCGTGTGGGCGGTGAGCCTGGCAGCAGGCAGGGAGCGGGGGAGGGCCGGCGAGGGCCCGGGCAGCCTGTGAGTGGCACTCTCCCTGTACAGGTGGCCGAGGTCATCTTCCCCACAGCGGATGGCACTGCCGTGGAGCTCGTGCGACTGAGGAGCCTGGAGGCCCAGGCTGTGACTGTGCGCACTTTCTCCGTCCAGGGCGAGTCCGTGGACTCCTCCGCTGCTGCCGTCCCCCCTGAACTCCTGGTGCCTCCGACCCCCCACCCAAGAACTGTCCCCCCAGCGAAGCCTCCTACGGGTGTCCCCGATACCAAAGATGAGTCCCTGGGTACCCACATCAGAACGGACGAGGTCTGGGAGCAGGGCCGGGTGCCTGCCCTGGGACACGGGCACATGCTGGAGCCACCCAGCCTGCAAGGCAGTGGGCGACGCTCGCCCTCACCCAGCCGCATCCTGCCACAGCCGCAGGGCGCCCCTGTGTCCAGCACCGCCGCCAAGGCCATGGCCCGGGAGGCTGCACAGAGGGTGGCCGAGAGCAGCCGGGTAAGCTGGGGCTTTGCGCCAAGGGTGCCCTGCCTTCCCGGCCCAGTGGGAGGAGGTGCTGCCACCCTGCGGGACCACGGCTCAGGCTCAGAATGTCAGGCTCTGGGTCTGTGCTGCATGTGGGTAGCCAGGCCACTAGGCTGGCAGTGATGAGACAGGTACAGGATGCCATCTCTGTCCTGGGGTACCACGTGGGTGTGGGCAGACAGGACTGCATGCAGAGGGACGCGTGGGTGCGCTCAGTCTGCGGGTGGGGACTGGCTTGTGCTCCAGGGTGCACAGGCACTGGGACAGGGAGTCCTAGGAGTGATCCTTACCACGTGGTGCTGGGCGATCTGGTCCATTCCACCCCACCTGCCTCAGGTGCACCTGCGCTGTCCCTGGTCAGCACTGCAGGGTCAGCAATGGGCATCCCAGCTGGCAAACCCGGAGACTGTCCGCACAGGGACCTCCCATCGGCCAGCCTCTGGGCTAGGGGCCTGGCAGGCAAACCCAGAGAGTGTCGGCACAGGGACCTCACATCGGCCAGCCTCTGGGCTAGGGGCCTGGCAGGCAAAGCAAGCATGGTGCCTGGAAGGTGACCTCTGGGGTCAGTCGCCATTCCTGTCCTCACCAGCTCATGGACCTGCCCTGACTTAGCACCTTCTGAGAAACAGGAAACCCAGTTTTCTGTGGACCCCCCGTCACCCTGTGGCCTCTGGGTGAAGGAGCCCCCGGGGGCTCCCATGTCCTGAACACGGAGCCTCGAGGGCCAGGAGGCAAGCCGGGGCCCCCAGAGGTGGGAGAGGAAGAGGCGTCGGTCGCCTCTGCCCCAGTGGCCACTGTGGCAGGACTGAGCTGCCTTCCAACTCACCCTGCCCTAGGCCTGTGCATGTGCCCCGAGGGTGGCTGCAGGGTCTGGTCCAGGCGCAAGCTTGGGGTGACACACGCGACAGTGCCCACTCAGCCGCTGGTCTTTCTTTCCAAGTTAGAGAAAAGGAGCATATTCCTGGGGCGGGGCAGCATGGGGCCGTGCGCCAACTCCGACGATGAGGACGGCTACACCTCCCCTGACCTCCGCAGGAGAGGCGCCTCCGTGGAGGACTTTCTGAAAGGCTCTGAGCTCGGCAAGCAGGTGAGGGGCAGGGGTGGCTATGGACGGGTGAGTGCATGCAGGGGTGGCCCGGCATGGGTGAGTGTGTGCAGGGGGCTCTGGGCAGGTCCCTGGCAAGCCTGGAGACTGAGGGACCCTGCACCACTTGATGCCTGCAGGGCCTCAGGCTTGTAGGGGACCGAGCCCACTCAGAGCTGCCCGGGGCTCCCACTTCCTGCCCTGGTGTCTGGCCATGGAGAACCCCTAGTCTCCACTGAGGCAGTTGCTGCTCTCTGCTCCATGTCGGCCATCCTGAGATCCAGACATACAAGGATGTGCTGTCCCAGCCTTGTGACCCTGCAGAGGTCAGCCAGGTGTGCAACCTCTGGCTAGAGCCCCTCCCAGCCAACAAGCCTTGGCATTCCTGGCAGTGGAGCTGACACACCTGCAGTGGGGCCGTCTCTGCCTGGCCTCATGGCACACCTATGGTGTGCCCGCACACAGCAGTACCCCTCCTGAGGCCCAGGGGCTCTGGTGGAGGGCCCTTCCTGTCAGCAAGCGCCCCTGCCCTTGGTCCCCAGCCCCACTGCTGCCACGGCGATGAGTACCCCACCGAGAGCAGCCGGGGCTCCGACCTGTCCGACATCACGGAGGAGGACGAGGAGGAGCTCCACTCGGAGATGCAGCTGGAGGACGGAGGCCGCAGGCGGCCCGGCGGTCCCTCCCACGGCACCCTCAAGGTGAGCGCTGAGAGCTGCTCCTGCTGTGCCTGGAGGAGTTGGGGGTGGGGTTTGGTGGCTCCGCTGCCAAGCTGGAGCGTGGAGAGGCGACAGAGGGTGCTGACCCCAGGCTCTTCCCGCTGGGACAGGCTGGGGGCTCCCAGCTGTGCCCTCGGGCTCCAGGAGAGGTCACTTCATGGGACTCGAGCTGGAGCCCATCCCGGGGTCTAGCAGGGAGCGTCCCGCTGCTGGCCGGAGCTGCTGCTCTGTCCCAGGAAGTGTGGCTGAGCTGCCCACCAGCACGTGCAAGGCCTGCGTGGGCCCAGCGGGGGCAGGACAGGTGGCTGGGCAGCCCTCCGTGGGCTTCCTGGATGAGCAGTATCTGTAAGCAGTTGTGGGCTCAGGTGCAGCTCTGCACACTGGAGTGGCCGCTCAGCACCCTAAGGCGGATCCACGTTCGGCGAGGGCACCTGTGATGCCCTGGCACGGAGGAACGTGGCACATTGCTGTGTGAACTTCACATGGCGTGGCTCCTGGGCCACTGGGGGCTGCTGACTGGCTGTTCCCGAGTGGTCCTGTTGGGTCCCCATGACCCTCAGGCTGTGCCCCTAGATGAGAGTTGATTGAACGGGCTTGTCCCCCCTTCCCCTGGTTCTCCTACTCACTGGGAGAGCTGGGGCACTTGTCCTGCTGAGTCCAGTGAAGAGTGGACCGGCACCACCTTGGCCAGCAGGGAATGGTCCACCGGGTTCCGCCAGCCAGGGGCTTCAGTGGCCCAGGGAGCCCCTGCCAGCCCACTGCACTTGCTCCAAACATTCCTTCTTCCGGAACAGGCAGCTCCAGGCCCCTCTAGCACCTCCCACAGATGGGCTTGGGTTCCTGAGGGCAGGTGCCCCAGAATGTGGCCTTGGCGGTCGGTGTGCCTGGCCCTGCACGCCCCTCCAGCTTGCAGGCAGCAGGAAACGCTGCCCTGGTGCCCATGCCTGCGGCTCCCGCAGCCTCCCAGCAGGGGGCAGCAGTGGCACGTGTCCCCTGGAGCAGCCACGGAGCCCAAGCACAGGGGAGGCTGGCCAGCGGCCTGCCTGGGGAGGGGAGCCTGGCCAGCTGTGCAGGGGCAGACTCCGTGTCGGCTAACCAAGCAGCCCTGTGTGTGGCCAGCATTGTGCAAGCCCCACAGACCAGGCTGGCTCAGGACAGGAGGCAGAGTGGCAGCCTGGGCCCTTGGCCGATGCCCGTGGCATCCGGGCACTGTGCCAGGGGGCTGGCTTCACACGGTCAGTGTTACGGAGGGGCAGGACGGTGAGTTCTGTCTGAGGTGCTCAACCAGGAGTGGAGTCCAGAGCCACTGGCAGGGTCAGGCTGGGAGCCCCTCCTGGGCAAGGGCTTGTTGCCATCGCCGGCTGGCAATCCTTGGGGTTTCCCAGGACATGGCCAGCAGCGTGGGTCTCCTGGGACAGCCCCTCCCGCTGCTGCCTCTCCCGCAGTCCGCCTGCATGGCCGCCTCCGTCCCCGCTCGTGGCCCCGTGGCCACCAACACTAACCCTGTGTTTTCTCTCCTCTCCACCCCACATCACGTGTGGTTGCACACTGCTCGCTGGGCACCGTCTGGTTCCCCCCAAGGAACATTCTAAGCCTAGGATGGCAGACGGCGCCCTGTCGGAGCCGGCCGAGCTCCCCGCACAGCCGCACCTCCGTAAGCGGCTCTTCAGTATCCCCGAAGTGGCCGAGGAGGACCCAGAGCCCTGCGAGCTGCCACGCAGACAGGGGCTGCGTTGTGGCCCCAGGCCTCGCCCCCGGGCTCCGCAGGGCTCCAGGCTCCCCGGGCAGCCCCTGGAGGACTTCCTGCTGGAGGACAGGGGCTGCCGCTTCAGCCGCTGGGCCACTCGGAGCCCGGACAGCGGCCTGGACTGCGGCAGCGAAGAGGAAGAGCTGCGGTTCAGTTTTGGGAATGCCTCGGCCCCGTGCAGCCCTGGCCCCGGCCGCTGCCCCTGCAGGAGGAGCCCGCGGCCCCTGCTGGCCCGGCGGCGGACGCTGACCCGGCAGAGCAGTGTCGAGGAGGACTCCGAGGAGCAGGTGGGCCCCGGCCCAGCCCGCGCGAGCCCAGCCCCAGGAACAGGGCTGGGCCGAGCCCACGGAACCCGACGACGGCCGCTCGCAAGGGGACCCCTGGGTGCGCGGGCCCCCTCCCCGCCTGCAGCCTCTTGCTGGCTTCTCCCTGGCTCGGGTTTGGTGTCTGCGGCCGGGGCCTCTGCCACTGCTCGCCCTCCACCCTGCACCCCGTCCTCCGTCCCCTGCTGCAATGACGCCCCCCAGAATCGACGAGGGTCATGGCTGCTTGGCTTAAAGGACAACTGAGCCTAAATTTTAATTAAGGGTTAGCTGAACCACGATCTCCCTCGCCCCGAGCCTGGCAACTGGGGACTCCCTCCACGACTGTGAGTCGGCGAAGGCATCCCCTCGCCCCGGGGGTCCTTCCAGTTGGCACTTCAGCCTTCACCCCTCATCCTTAAGGGTTAGAAAATAGCCCATCTTTACTTACTGTCTGAGGGTTCCCCCCGGGCTTGTGCCCGAGCCTGCTGCTGGCAGCGGGGGCCATGTTGCCAGCCGTGGGGTGCCCAGCGCAGGCACCGCTCTGGGCGGACTCCTCTCCGGGACACTGGCTTGTGGCACGCCTCACCGAGCACGCAGGGGAGCCTGACCTGGCCCTGCGCTCCGGCACTTTGTGGCAGGCCCCCGGCTCCAGGGTTGCCTCACGCCTTTGTGAGGCCTCCTAGCCAACTTTAAATTACAGAGCGGGGACCTGTCCAGGGGTCCAGGTGTGGGCTGGCCTGCTGCCCGCGTTCCAGCCCAGAGTGATGCTTGGCGTGGTGGGGGCTGCGGCGGGGTCCCGCGTCTGGCTCCAGCAGCCGGCAGCGAGGCCTTGAGCCCGGGGCCAGGACGTGGGCCTCTCTTCCGCTCGCTCAGCTAACCTTTCAGTTAAAAGTTTAGTTTCATTGCCTTTAGAGCTTCTGCTTCTGACTGGACTCCATCGGCCTGGCCACGCCGCCACCCGCTCCCGCACGCGTGCCCACACGGGGTGCTCACTGCCCTCTTTCCTCTCCAGATCCTAGGAAACCCAGCGTCCACTGGGCGGGCGGCCCACGGCGGGCGGCGCTTCCCCGCAGGTGGTGTGGGTCCTCCCAGGCCGCGGCCCGTGGCGGCCTCGCCCATCGGTTAGTGTCCTGCCGCGCTCTCCCCCCTCTCTCCCGCCCCGTGTGACCGCGTGGCCCTTGGGAATACCATTTCAGGACAGCACCAGGTCCACGCATCCCTCTGTAAGTATGCCCAAGGCCAGGGCGCCCCACCGAGGCCAGCCTGGTGCCCTTCGCCTGGATGCAGAGGGCCTGGCAGAGCCAGGGGTGGGTCGTCCTGCTCGGCTGCCACGGGCTGCCACGCATGCAGGCAGGCCCAGTGACACACACATGGTGCGTCAGGAGAGGCAGCGGCCTGTGGGCCTTAGGCGGCTCAGACAGCTGTGTGCCGCAAGCCACCGAACGTGCCGACAGCAGGGAGAGGAGGCTGTGCGCCTGTACTGAGCAAGCCTTAGGACACACATGGGTCTGTGGCGGGATGGCTGGACACGTATGATGGAGGAGCCAGCTGATGGGGTTCCTGGCCCAGCACCCCGCTTCCAGTGTCTGAGCAGCTCTGGCAGGGCAGCTTGTCCTGTTCAGTGCACTGCAGGTGTGGGATGGGTCCTCTGGAGGTTCCCACCTCCTATGACCAAGACTGAACACACTCGCCACAGCCACCAAGGGGCAAACACTCCCTTCCCCGCCCTCCCCACACAGACTTGCAGGGCAGCCAGCTGGCAGGGCTCAGGAAGCACACTGGGTGGGGTTCTCCGGGTCCATGACACGTGCAGGGGGCAGCGCGGTTCTGTGCCAGGACCTTCACAGAGATCTGGCCTCTTGACGCGGCCCTGCGCACGTGCTGAGAAGCGCACGGGAGACCTCGCTCTGCTGACTTCTCAGCAGCCCAACAAGCCACGTGAAAGACGCGGCTAACGTCAAGGTCCTTGTGTGTGCACTCCCCCCGCACCGCCTGCTGCTTCAGGAGATGGGAGAGCAGGGTGAGGAGGGCCCCAAGGCGCTGGCATGCACGTGTCTGCCCTCACGGTGCCCTGTCTGGTGAGCAGCAGCACTCTAACAGCTCAGAAGCCGGCCTCCCACAAGCCTCTGTGAGCGGGACGCAGCCTGGACACCACACTGTTGACTAAGCCTCGCGCCCACAACTCCCGAGAAGTGCCCAAGCTTTGGTGGTTCTCTGGGCACTTGGTGGTGGTCAGGAGAGGCCGCCATCACAGAGGGTTGACCCCCTCCCAGCCACGGCGAGGGCACTGCCTTCAGCCTCCCCGCCCGCCCTGCTGCCCTGGCCCACAGGGCACCGGCTGAGAAAGCGCAGTGGTCTGCCACACTCAGCCTGCCCTCGCCCTAAACAGGAAGTGAGGGTGGGACAGGGGCAGCAGGGGACACATGGCCCTCAGGTGCCCCCAGTCTCACCCTCAGACATGGCTGTGGAGTGCTGAGTGCTGGGGGTAACTGCCAGCCGTTGTCCCTTGGGTGCCCAGTAACTCCCCCTCACTCAACACCATCTTCTTGGGGTGCACACAGCCAGCACATGGCAATGCAGGGGACTCCTATGGCTGCTTAGCTGCAACCACTTGATGGGAATGGGGGCAAAGAGAAACTGGGGCTTCCTGTGGGCTCCCAGCGAAGACGTGAGCATGGACATGCAGGGCCTGGGGAGTTATGTCCCAGACAGGCTCCCCGCAGCCACAGCGCCTCCCAGCTCTAGTTGGAAGTCTTACATTCTGTTTTCCCCAGCGCCTGTCCTGTTTCCTGGGAGGGGCTGCGTGAGAACATGTGCGTCCACGCATCCGGGCCTGTGCTCGGTGCTCTGACGCGCGTGTGGGCTCCCCGGCTGCCTGCAGACTCACTGCCCCGTCCTTTCTCCTACATGTGCCAGACGAGTACGCAGGGAGGAGCCGCCTCTCCCCCGACTTGTGCGAGGAGTCAGAGACGGACCCCGGCACCGACGAGCTCCCAGCCCGCATCTTTGTGGCTCTTTTTGACTACGACCCGCTGACCATGTCCCCCAACCCGGACGCTGCGGAGGAGGAGCTTCCCTTCAAAGAGGGACAGGTCATCAAGGTGGGGACAGTGGGGAGGGTTCAGGGAATGGTGGGGCACACATGAGGACGACCGAGCACGCAGAAGCGGGTCCCGTGCCCCTTTCTGACCCGGCCCATCTCGGCTTCACTTTGGCCCCACGGCTCTAGGTCTATGGTGATAAAGACGCCGATGGCTTCTACCGTGGGGAAACCTGTGCCCGGCTGGGCCTCATCCCGTGCAACATGGTCTCGGAGATCCAGGCGGACGACGAGGAAACCATGGAGCAGCTGCTGCGGCAAGGCTTCCTGCCTCTGAGCACACCCGTGCAGAGAGCAGGTGCGAGCTGGCCTGCCCAGCCTAAGGCCCCGAGACAGCTGCGGCTTCCCGCAGGAGAGATGCCCCTGGGTCCCTGGCCATGTCACCATCTATTCTCTGCTTGGAAGCCTGACTACCCAGAGAAGCATCTCGGGTGAAGGGTCCTGGCATGGGTGCCCTCTGCCCTTTGTGATGGACAGCATGGGGTGCTTTGGTCCATCCACGGCCCGTTCATGGGCTCCAGTGAGCAAACTCCAAAGAAATTTTGCATTGGGGGCTCCCATTTCTGCCAGGTGCAAGACACTGAGCTCCCCTCTCCCCTGCACCGTTGTGGGGAAGGCTGCTCCTAGTTAGGGCCTAACACAAGGCCCACGTCAGCCGCCACAGGCAGCATCAAGGACACAGTGCTGGACACCTGGCAGTGAGGCCACGGCCAGCCTTCGGCCTGTGACCTCTCTGTTCTCGTGCCTTGGGCCGTCTTGTGCTCTCCGGCTGCTGGAGGCCCCTGGGCAGGGCTGGGCATCAGGCAGATTCTCCTGTTTGGTGGAATGCCAGAGGGCACAGGGGCCTCTGCCCATCAGTGCCTGGGATATCACCCCTGAAGCGCAACCACCAAACACTGCCCCGTTGGACTGGGCAGGAGGCAGGAGCTGCCTGTGGTCCCTCCTGCCCTCATGCTAGGTGTGCCCAGCACAGTGTGGCCAGTGAACAGGCTCTGCAGTAACTAGATGCCATCAGAATGTGGCGTGGGCTCATGCATCCCCAGGAAGCACATTCCACAGTGTGTACGGAGCAAGAATGGCCAAGGTGACTGTTGCGGGGAGATGAACTGTGTTTAGGAGACATGGACACAGGCCACATGGTGCCTGGTCAGGGACAGGGCCAGTGGCTCCTGAGTGAGGCAAGAAGGCAGCTCAGCAGAGAAAAGGGCAGCCTCCCCATGAGTGACCCCTGAGTTACCCTGGGTCACACTCTCCCCATAACAAACTAAAGTCACATGAAGCATTGTCCAAAGTTTAAACAGTTATGCTGGGGCTCAAAAGGCTAATCCTCCACCTGCAAGTGCTGGCATCCCCTCTGGGCACCAGGTCTAGTCCCAGCTGCTCCACTCTCAATCCAGTTCCCTGCTAATGTGCCTGGGCAAGCAGGGAGATGGTCCAAGTGCTTGGGCCCTGCGCCCGTGTGGGAGACCCACTTAGAGCAGTGTTCACCTCAGCTGGCACCTCTGGTGAGCAGCCTGCCCTCCGTCTCAACAGTAACGCGACTATTGTCTTCTCGGAGCCCTGAGACGGGCCTCGCCCAAGGACAGTCACAGCCTTCAACTGGCTGCATGGTCCCATGCTGAAGCCAACCAGCCACAGGCTGCCAGTCCTGGTCACACGTGTCTCCCTGTGGCTGCTCTATAAGGGGCTCAGTGCCACGGCTGCTGCCTGCGTAACTCGGCGTCTTCTTGCCTGTGACCCACAGAGAGAAGCAGAAGGAGCGGCAGGCAGCGTTCTGTGTCCACACGCAGGATGGTGGCCGTGTATGACTACGACCCCAGAGAGAGCTCGCCCAATGTGGACGCAGAGGTACGGCAGCCAGTATTCCCTGTACCACGCAGCGTGCCTCTGGAAACCTCACTGCTGACAGGCCCAGCCGGTGCCCTCAGCCTCCCTCACACAGCCCGTGCCCTCACAGCCTCACCACACACTGCCCTGTGCCCTCAGCCTCCCTCACACAGCCCGTGCCCTCACACTGCCCTGTGCCCTCCCAGCCTCCCCCTCACACAGCCCCATGCCCTCACATAGTCCCGTGCCCTCACACAGCCCCGTGCCCTCAGCCTCCCTCACACAGCCCCGTGCCCTCACACTGCCCTGTGCCCTCACAGCCTCCCCCTCACACAGCCCCGTGCCCTCCCAGCCTCCCCCTCACACAGCCCGTGCCCTCACATAGGCCCGTGCCCTCAGCCTCCCTCACACAGCCCGTGCCCTCCCAGCGTTCCCCTCACACAGCCCATGCCCTCACACAGCCCGTGCCCTCACACAGCCCCGTGCCCTCACAGCCTCCCCCACACACTGCCCTGTGCCCTCCCAGCGTTCCCCTCACACAGCCCCGTGGAGGTCCCATCTGCGGATGTGCCTCTCCTCGGCGACCACCCGTACCTCCTCATCATGCTGCCTGCCCGAGAAGCCATCAGCCCAGGACTGCGGCCGCTGCCGCCCGGGCGGGAGCAGCAACTTCAGACCTGTGCTCCGCAGGCAGCTGCCCAGGGGCGGCGCCCCTCTTGGGTTGGGCAGTGGGAAGTGCTGTGTGCTGCTGCAGCTGCTGGGGCTGGGTTGAGCACCAAGCAGAATCCCAGGAGGTGGTGGTGCCACAGCTGTGTGGGCACCCACATCCTGATGGCCTGTGCCTTTGGCATCAGCTCACGCCCTGCGGCCAGCCCTGGGCAGCAGGCTTTGCTGCTGGGCAGGGAGACCCTGTGTGAGGCAGCTCCCCTTGCTCTGAGCAGAGCCGGCCGCCAGCCTTGTGCCTTTGTTCCTCCACGGAAAGGACAGGCCGGAGCCTCGGGTAACCCCAGAGGGCACGGTCCAGAACACAGCTGCTCAGCCGCACGCCTCTCTCCGCAGGCCGAGCTCACCTTCTGCACAGGCGACATCATCGCCGTCTTTGGGGAGATTGACGAAGACGGGTTTTACTACGTGAGTACTGGGGCGCTGCAGGACGTGGTGTGTGCACAGTGCCTGGCTGGACGGGGACCCCTCCGCCGCCTGCACTGTTTCCACTGGGGAGATTTCCCATGGATAAAACTGCCCCAAACTAACACATTCTGATGCTCTGTTTCAAAACTGCCATGTCCAAACAGTTACAAGACAATGGGCTTTACCCTATATATTGAGTAAAATTAATTGTCCAGCTAACATTTTCATATAGGAAGAAAGAAATTCAAACATGCACTAAAGTAAGTAAAATCAGCTGTGTAGACTCATTAGTGCTTCCTGCTCCCCCGCCCCCCGAGCCACTGGCAGCAGCAGGAACCCTTCCCTGCCAGGCCGCCCTCCTGCGCCAAATGCCACTTCACCCATGGCTACTTCTTCCACTGCCAGCTCACTACAGGCTCACAGCAGCCCTCACATGGCACGCAGCCTCTCCCCACCGCAGCCCTACACACGGCACACAGCCTCTCCATACTGCAGCCCTGCACATGGCACACAGCCCTCTCCCCACCGCAGCCCTGCACATGGCACACAGCCCTCTCCCCATCGCAGCCCTGCACACGGCACACAGCCTCTCCCCATCGCAGCCCTGCACATGGCACACAGCCCTCTCCATACTGCAGCCCTGCACATGGCACACAGCCCTCTCCCCACCGCAGCCCTGCACATGGCACACAGCCTCTCCCCACCGCAGCCCTGCACACGGCACACAGCCCTCTCCCCACCGCAGCCCTGCACACGGCACACAGCCCTCTCCATACTGCAGCCCTGCACATGGCACACAGCCCTCTCCCCACCGCAGCCCTGCACACGGCACACAGCCCTCTCCCCACCGCAGCCCTGCACACAGCACACAGCACACAGCCCTCTCCCCACCGCAGCCCTGCACATGGCACACAGCCTCTCCCCACCGCAGCCCTGCACACGGCACACAGCCCTCTCCCCACCGCAGCCCTGCACACAGCACACAGCCCTCTCCCCACCGCAGCCCTGCACACAGCACACAGCACACAGCCCTCTCCCCACCGCAGCCCTGCACACGGCACACAGCACACAGCCCTCTCCCCACCGCAGCCCTGCACACAGCACACAGCACACAGCCCTCTCCCCACCGCAGCCCTGCACACGGCACACAGCCCTCCCACCGCAGCCCTGCACATGCACACAGCCCTCTCCCCACCGCAGCCCTGCACACAGCACACGGCACACAGCCCTCTCCCCACCGCAGCCCTGCACACAGCACACAGCACACAGCCCTCTCCCCACCGCAGCCCTGCACACAGCACACAGCACACAGCCCTCTCCCCACCGCAGCCCTGCACACGGCACACAGCCCTCTCCCCACCGCAGCCCTGCACATGGCACACAGCCCTCTCCCCACCGCAGCCCTGCACATGGCACACAGCCCTCTCCCCACCGCAGCCCTGCACACGGCACACAGCCCTCTCCCCACCGCAGCCCTGCACACAGCACACAGCACACAGCCCTCTCCCCACCGCAGCCCTGCACACAGCACACGGCACACAGCCCTCTCCCCACCGCAGCCCTGCACACAGCACAGCCCTCCCCACCGCAGCCTGCACACAGCACACAGCCCTCTCCCCACCGCAGCCCTGCACACAGCACACAGCACACAGCCCTCTCCCCACCGCAGCCCTGCACACAGCACACAGCCCTCTCCCCACCGCAGCCCTGCACACAGCACACAGCACACAGCCCTCTCCCCACTGCAGCCCTGCACACAGCACACAGCCCTCTCCCCACCGCAGCCCTGCACACAGCACACAGCACACAGCCCTCTCCCCACTGCAGCCCTGCACACAGCACACAGCACACAGCCCTCTCCCCACTGCAGCCCTGCACACAGCACACAGCACACAGCCCTCTCTAGGCTGACCAGTTCCGAAGCAGAGTTGACTGGCTGTGGGCCCCCCCGCGCTGCACATTTCAGCCCAGTGGGTAGCGTGCGTGGGTGACCAGCCCCTGCCTCTGCCCTGTGTGTAGGGGGAGCTGAACGGGCAGAAAGGCCTGGTGCCCTCCAACTTCCTGGAAGAGGTGCCTGATGATGTGGAGGTCTACCTGTCCGACGTGCCATCCCACTGCTCGCAGGACACGCCCACGCGGCCAAAGGCCAAACGGGTAAGCAGGGCCACCCGGCCTCTCTGACCCCTCCCCGCCACGCGCTCCCGTCCGTGCCCCGGCCCCAAGCACAAACCCTTCAAGGGGGCCGGGTGTCCCCAAGTTCTGAACCCCAAACCTCAACTTCATTTGTTTGCGCGCACACACACAACAAAACCCCAAGGCCCTTCCCACTGTGGTCCCCCGGCTTTCCCGGCCACAGGCGAGGCAGGCACGAGGGGGGCTGGCTGGGCCCCAGCAGGGGCAGGGGTCAGAGGAAGGGGCTTGGTCCCCTCCCCAGACCACCCATCCGACTGAGAGGACATTGTGCCTAGTGTCATTTCCATCCGACTTCATCATGCGAGTCCTTCTGTCATGTTTTATATCAATTATATTTTTGTTTCTTTGCTCATCTGCTTGGACAAGAAGAAGAGTGTTCATTTCACACCTTAATCAGGCCAAGTAGCCTTCGTGTAAGCAAGCAGCTGAAGATACCTAGACAGATCCCACCTTAAGCTACCTAACGGACCAGTGCGGTAGACTTAAGTCTCCCGGGGGAGGGACGCAGGGCCAGTCTGTCTCAGAGCCTGAGCCTGTGGCAGCACGGCAGCCCTGGGCTCTGCTCTAAGGCGGCCCTGTCTGGCCGTCACTTCCCACTGTTTGCCCCCGGCGTCCCTGCAGGGCTCACGTGGGGAACACGGGTCCTGACTGGCTAACTCGGCCAGTTCTTACACGGATGCAGCGCTGTGTACTGCACCCAGCCTCTCCTGGGAGAGGTGCACCCTAAGGTGTGTGCGTGTGCCAGAGGCAGCTTCCCAGCAGCAGCATGCGCAGGGCGGCCGGAGGGCAAGCAGGGCCAGCGGGGCCCGCAGGCTGGAGGGCAAGCCCGCCGCAAGAGGCATGTGGGGCCTTAGCCAGGGCACACGGTATCTTCAGGTGTCCTTGGGGTCTTCCATTAGACCCAGGCCTTGATTTCCAATCCAAGCAAGCAGGAAGCCCGTTCCCTGTGCCGCTGACCCTTAGCAATGCCTCGTGGGGCGCACTCGGGGCCTTGTAGCCCCCAAGTCCGGGTCAGTTCTGGTGAGGGCAGACACCCTGCCCAGGAGACGGCTCCGCCACTGCACGGCAACTGCCTGTCAGTCTCTGGAAACCAAAGCCAGGAGTGCGCATTCGAGGGGCCTGGAAGCTTCCTTGGATTGTAATTAAGGTTCATTTTAGTTGTTTTGTTTTTCTTTTCAACCAGTGTGCTAACTAGCCTGGGAATGCACGCAGCAGCGTCTGCATTTCCAGTAGCCCAGTAGCTCCCACAGGCAGTACCAGCCCTCTCAGAGCCGGGCCTTCTCACACCCCCGATGGGCACCAGCCCCCGCCCCATTTTCCTGGCCGGGAACAGTAGCCCGTGCCTGCACTCAGACCAAGTTTATCAAGTGGACTGCCGCGGGCCGGCTACCCCCCTCCCAAAGACCAACCTGAACCCTGAAAACCCCAGGCCCTGGAGCCACCGCCTGCCTCTTCTGGCTGGCGCGGCCACGGCCAGAGTACCCCTCCCCTTGGCCGGTGGGGTCGGGCGGTGCATGCGGTACTGTCCATCACGCACTCAATGAACTGTCACAATGTACCTACTAGGTTCCTGCTGAGGGGTCAGGGCCAGCAAGGAGCGCTCCACCCCCCACAGCCCACCTCCACTCGGGGTCACCTCCGCCCTCCGTGGGTTCTGGGAGTCCCGGGAGAGGCAGGGAAATGTCCTCGAGAAAGAAAAAGGGGCTGCTTTCCAAGGGCAAGAAACTGCTGAGAAAGCTGGGCGCAGTGCGGTGACCCCCGGTGAGCCCGGCTGCGGACTGCTCCGCCTCCATGCGCTTCTCTTTGCTTCCAAACCAGGGCGGTCGGGACTCGAGTCCTTCCTAGCGCCTCCTCCCCTGACACGCAGCGGGGGCCGGCCCAGGGCTCGCTGCCCGCGGCCCAGGGCTCGCTGCCGCGGCCCAGGGCTGCCCTGGCTCGCCCTCCCCTAGTTGCTGTCCTTGTGCGTCCACATGCTTGCCTCCTGCCGTGTGCCCTCCCCTCCGACTCTGGGCTTGATTCTCGTTGATCTGCCTTTGCTGTCCTGCCTTATTGCTGCACAATGACTTGTACTGCCCAATAAAGCCTGCTGTGTGCCCGTGTGTGTGCTGTGTGCCCGCCGCCCCTCCCCCCAGGCACCCCTCAGGGCCGCGCGGGCAGGTGAGCTGCCCGGCAGCTGGCCGCCCTCACTGCTCGCCCAGCGTCACAGGCCCTGCTTCACGGGTCCGTGTCCCCTCCATGCCCCCACACGACAAACAGCACATGCGTGCAGCCCTCACTTGGTGCACCTGCCTCACCCTGCACGCCCCGACTCGGCCCGTCAGGTGGAGCCGCACACACCCCTGGCACTTAAACGAAAGGCTGGCGATGTTGCTGGCAGATGCACTGGGTGGTTACTATTCTGTAAATCCTGTCAATGATTTTTACTCTTTTTACATCCCAGACTGCCTTTCTTTTGTAATTTATGGAAGGTTTATACACGAATGACAAAGCTTTCCCCACTGTCTTAACTGTAAAGTGTTACCCCCTGTGTGGCAGAACCAGGAAACCAGCTGACGTGTGAACAGGTCCTGTGTGGGCGTGCGCATGTGTTCAGTGTAAAATATTTTGTAGAAATAAAATTTGTTATTTTGTGCAGCGCTGCCTCTGTCTGTTTCCACACACTCCCACGGGGGGATACTCCACGCCGCTGCCCACCGGCTCAGTGACGGCTGTGGGGGAGCCTGGCGACAGCGCTGCCCTGGGCAGGGGGAGAGGCCGCCTGCCCAGCAGGCATGGTGTCCCTGCACACCCTGGAAGCCGCCCGCTTTCCATGCCCTAGGCTTTCTAAAGGCACAGGGAGCCTGAGTGAGTCAGCAAGCAGGCCGGGCTCACCCACACCAAAGCTGGGTGCTCAGAGCTGCCTACCACGCGGCTGGCAGGGACCAACTCACGGGACCCGACTCTGGCTGTCTCCCAGGGAGCTGGAGTAGCTAGCAGTAGAGGTGGGACTTGAACCCGGGACCTCCCCTATCGTGGCTGCGCCCTGAGGAATTAGCTGTACTTAGCAGGTAAGACCAGTGTGCCTGTGGCAGAAACGAGGTTGTCCAACGGCACCACGTGATGAAGCCAGCCCTCCCGCCGAGCTAACTGGCCTTTACAACATTCAGAGGAAGTTGTGTGTGAAGAATTGATAACTACCTCTTTGAAAAATCTACCATAGTAGCCAGGAACAATGTTTCCATAAACCTCTTGAAAACATTTGCAAACTCCCCCAAATGCAGAAAAGGCAGGGGACCCCATGGCCTCGGGACTGCTCCCATCCCTTCCTGGGCCCGGGATACGTGAGGTGGCTCCGTGGCCCACAGGGCGGCCTTCCCACCGTCAGGCTCCCCGTGAATGTTGGGGTGCGCCTCGTCCCCTACACCTGGGCGCCTTTAACAGCAGCTGGTGTGCGGTGTGCAGCTGACACGGACACGCCCTGTGTTCCTGCCCATGAGTGTCTGCAGCGACACCTGCCCAGACACGCGCCCTAACCCGGTCACACAAGAGCCAGCTCGAGGCAGCCAGGTGGGGTGGGGGCACCCACAGGGTGGCATGCCCTTCACAGACCCCTGCTACGTGACTTCACACCCAACTGGAGTGGTGGGTTGGAAATCAGCCACAAGGCAGCGGGCCAGAGCCAGGAGCAAGGGTTTCTGTCTGCAGTGGACAGACATCTTACACTGAAATAAGACCGAAAACGTGAAAACATGCACAAGGCTCCAACAGGCACTCACAAAGACAACTGTCCAACACACCTGGGCGAGGGTTCGCTGGCACCACCACAGGCACGGGGTGCCCAGGTCCACTACTCTAAGGTTCACGCACTGGAAAGGCAGAGTCACACAGATCTCCCAGCTTCCGCCTCCCTTCCCAGATGACTGCAAGGGCCGGGGCGGGCCAGGCTGGAGGCGGGAGCTGAGTCGGAAGGGGAGAAGTCGGGACTCCAACTAGCATTCATGTGGGACGCCACCCCAGTGTCGGTCCCCTGCATGGGTAGGGTTAAAAGCTGCCATCGTCCAGCCCTGGTGGGAGTAGAAGGGAAAAGCACTGTCCGGCCAGCTGCTCCCACGGCGGCAGCCACGCGGCCCACGGGCTCCGCCTAAGCACCCGTGCAGTCACTGCCTGGGGCAGAGGCACCACGCAAGTCCCAGAGCAGCCACGCAGGGACACCCCGCAGGACTCCCTCTCACGAGCAAGCTGCAGCCAGCTCTTTCCCATGCAACTGCGCTGCACAGGGATTTCACGATGGGCAAAAGGCAGACCACTGAGAACCTGAGGTCCAACTGGCCAAAAGACCCCGTGTGGCAGGGAGGGTGCAGCCCCAGGGGTTGCAGACTCCTGCCCAAATTCATCCAGTTGGGGGACCATGCACCCCACGAGTACCACTTCATGTTGTGACTTCCATTACAGCTCCCTGCTTCTCAACTGGGAAAGCAGCAGAGAACAGCCCAAGCACACCCTGGTGGGGGAGCCGTAGGAAGCCTGGCTGTGAGCTGTTCCAGCTCTAGTCACCGTAGTCATCTGGGGTTCCACCAAAGGATGAAGATCTCCTTCAGTCTTTGAAGGAAACCCATCAAGGTGTGTCCAAGATGTGACACATCCATGGCTGTGCAAGGGGAGCGCAGAGCCCGAGGTCCCTGCACACGCTGCCTGCCCATGTTCTAGTATGCTCTGCTCCAGTCCCTGGGACCAGAGCCAGCGGCTGCTGGTGGCCACTACAGGGTCCCCTCTAAGGAGAGCTCCTCTTGCCATCAGGTCACAGCCTGGCGTGGAACCTGGACCTCACGGTGGGGCACATGGGAGGGCTCACGGAGCCCAGCACCCATGCAGATGTGGGGGCAGTGCTGGGTGGCTGGGTGCCTCTGGGCAATCCCCACTCCCATCATGTGCTGGCAGGACTAGGGCCACAGCAAGGCCCCTAGGGGTGCGGTGTACAACACACAACCCTGCCTCATCATGCAGGGAATGCCAGCTGATGCTGCCAGGGGGCCCAGCAGGCAGAAGGTGCCAGGTCGGCTGTGAGGGAGGGTTGGACTATCTGGTGGCAGTCCAGGGACCTGGCAGTTGAGTTGGGTGCCTGAGTGAGGAGGCAGACCACCATGAGAGTTTAAACAGATTCATCCACTTCAGACAAGGCTGCTGCGTGAGGCAGGGTGGGGAACACCAGCTTGGAGCAGGGGAGCCCCGAGTTGTGGCTCTGCTGCCTGGAAACCTGCCATGCTGAGCAGGGCACAGCTCCAGCTGTGGGCAGCCCAGACCGTCAGACCTCTGGCTCCCGGGCTGCAGTGGACACTAGCGTGTCCACGGCACCCACAGCCACACGCCCCATCACTGGGCCTCAGGTCCATGGCAGACCTCGGGGCCCACAACGGGGGCCCTTGCAGGAAGCCCCTGGCAGAGAGGCGGGAGTGACCCAATGCCGGCCGGGGCAGGGGAGAGTGCCCCAGCGACGTCTCCAGGAGGGAATGAAGGGTCCGACTGAGGTGCCCTTGGTGAGAATATGGGGCATGAGGGTGCCTCTCTATACCTGGGCAGCAAGACATTCATGGCGGCTCGAGGCAAAGGGGCCCACAAGCTTGTTCTGTTTACAATAATAATCAGCTTTGTAGGCTGCCAGGACTAAAGACAAACCAGAGACGTGCCATCCCTGACGGCACCGGCCAGCGGCGGGGACAGTCCAGGGATGCTGCCCTGTGCTGTGGGGGCAGAGTGCAAGGAGCCACATGGAGGGCGCATCCATGAGCTCTGCAGGAGGTATGGCCAAGACCACGCCCCTCTGGCAGCACCCACCGTCTGTGCCCTTACTAGACCAACCTGAATGCTGCTCAGCATATTGGGCTCAGCTCTCCCTGACGCCGCAGGGTTCTCCAGGCGGGCAGACCTTCCCACTGGGCCACAGCTGCCCAGTCCCCATGCTTCCACAACATCTGTGCCTCTGACACTTGAACAACCGTGCGTGACCAGCCACAAACACTCAAGTTACTCCTGCACAGCCTTGTGACGTGGGACCCCTTGAGGCTGCCTTGCACACCACCCTCTGCTCAGAGGGTCACCCGATGAGGACACCCGATGGCCCCTGCTCCCAGAACCACAGGGAATGGTCAGGCCGTGCCCTCTGTGGGTGCCTGTGGGCAGCCCCAGGCCCGGCTTCACACCGCTGAGTGTCAGCAGTGTCCAGGGGGCTCCTTGCGGTAGCTCCACGTCTCTTGCATGATGCAGAATAAACAAGCCCTGTCATGGGAACCCAGCGGGCTTTGGTCTGCACACGAGGGCTACAGGGGACCTGGCCCAACCCTGCGCCACACCCGCAGACACAGGTTCCACGTCTGCAAGTTCAGTGGAATTCTCCGGAAGCTGAACGGGACGCTATTGCTCAGGTACGGTGACAATCACTTCATTTATTTTGTAACAGAGTGACACCCTAGTCACGGAACAAACCAAACACAGGCCCCTCTTGTCAGTGCTTAAAATGTTGCTTTGAACAGAAATTTAAAACTTTCCAACTATCTTTTCCACCCCCACCCTCTAGCCCCAAAAGAAATAAAAAATAAGCCACTTCCCTTTCCCCCGTGGGCAGGCCGTGCCACGGGGCTTCTCTACTAAAACCTGAGCTAGGAGGAACCAAATAAAACCCACCAAGACTGCGGCGAGCCCCGGAGCCCAGGCCTTCCCTCCAGAGCCACAGCGCAGTGCTGCGGGCCCTGACCCTCCCCACGCCCTCAGCAGGCTCCCGGAGTCGCGACCGTCCAACATGCCTCATTCACAAGTTCCCAAAACGAACCCAAAATCCTAACAACATATGTGTCAGAAGCAAACAAGATAAAATATAAAATCTCACTCAAGCTTAAGATGAGGACACCAGTTAATAGCAAGGCCAGAAATAAAACTCTCTCAGTCCCCTCCCCAGGTTTCACTGCGGAAGGCAAGGGCTTAAAAATGAAGGATTCAAACCTGCCCGCCATGGTGCCGGTGCAGCTAGAGGTAGTACAGGCGGTTAGACAGCGACAGGTTGGGCTCCCGGTGGATGCTCTGGCCCACCAGGAAGGCCAGCTTGTGGGCATACTGGCAGGGTGCGGGCACACGGATGACACCCTGCAGGACGGGGAAGGTTCCGTCACGGCCCGCCCATCCGCCCGGAGGAGGGCTGGCGGGGGCGGCCGGCAGCGCTCACCGGCCAGTTGTAGTAGACGTGGCAGAGCTTGTAGGTCAGCCGCTGGATGTGGTCCGGCTTCAGGCCGCTGCTGTCATAGATGACATTGTAGTGTGTGGGGGAGACGCTGCCACTCCTCACTGCTTGGCTCACGATGAAGAAGTCATACCTGCAGCACGCGGTGCGTCACGTGGGCAGGGCTCAGGCCCTCGGCACGCAGGCACTGCATGCAGCTGCCTCCCTCCCGGGGGCTCCTCCCGCCCAGGGGCTTCCAGCTGAGAGCACCGTCTCTCGCTCTTGCCAGCGCTCCTGCAGAATCACTAAGGTCTGTGGCTCAGGTGTGGGAGGGAGACGAGGGAGAACCAGCCTGGGCTTGGCAGAAGGGTGGTGTGGCCTGCAGGGAGGGACGCGAGCCCGTCCACTCCCGGAAGCCAGGGGTGCCAGCCTGCAGCAGCCACAGGGAATGGGACCAGCGGACTTTCTCTCCAGGAACACAAGGGGACAGAACTGCGGTGTGACTGCCCCGAATGCTGACTGACGGCCCCCGTGTCCACCTCACATCCGGCGTCTGAGCTGCCGCCACCTCATCAGCTTCTGGGGAAGCAGCCGCGCATCCTCGTCCTCGCACCCCATGGACCAGCTCAGGGCTGACCCAGCCTGAGGCAGCTGCCGCCCTGGGCTTGGACAGGCCCACTCAGGAAGGCACCAGCCCTTGGGTGGTGGAGAGGCCCATCTGAGAGTGTCCACTTCATGACCGCCTGCAGGGACACACTGCACAGAGAGGCTCCTGGACACGCGGGGGCACTTGCAGTGCTCCAACTAGCTCCCTGCCCTTCCCCCGGCCCCAGCTGTCCCACAGGAGCACGGAGCGGGTGCAACACGGCCAGTCAGCAGGGGGCCTCATGGCTCACCCAGCACACAGCACCTGCCCCCAGGGTCTCAGGCCCTCGGCATGCACGAGCCAAGCCTGCGTGTGGACGAGGCTGTAGGCCACAGGCTGCCCCCGCCCAGGGAGCCCATCTGGGCCAAGGACACCGTCCAGCTATGGCTCATCTGCTCCCCGAGATCCGCAGGACTCACCACTCCGGTCTGGTCACCTCCACATCAATGACAGTGCCGGGCAGAGGGTTCTGGAGCCGCCCTCCAGACTGAGCAAAAAAACGGGCGTTCACACGTTTCTTCACCACGATGACCGTCAGTCTGGGGCTTGAGGATGGCAAGTAATCAGGTCAGTCGGCACCGTGGCACCTGCTTGCTCTCGGGGGCCCGGCAGCCTCGGGCTGGGTGAGAGCACCCACAGCAGGCCCAGGCCACGATTTACCCACACACGGCATGTCTCCAAAGATCACACTTGAAGGCACTTTGGGTGGGTGTCTTCCTACTGGCAAGTACAACACGCACAGTAAGATCTTTAATAAGCTAATTGAGCGCTCTCCAGCTCTGACTGTTCAAGATGACTGGTTTCCGATGCAGAGAGGGAGAGAGAGAGAGAGAGAGAGAGAGAGACACACACACACACACACTCCTGGCCCTCGCCAATACAGCATGGGATTCACCGAGGCTTCACCCTCCTCAACGCTGCCTGTGCCCGGGCCTCCCCAGCTCTGGGCTCAACTGCGGCCACACGGTTCCAGCTCAGCCTCACTGCACCACTGGCACTGCCGTGGCCAGCACATGCACACCTGCCCACACAGGTGGCAACAGTCCCCAGGACGACACTGCACACCCACGGCTGGGGTGGTGGCAGTCAGAGGAGCAGGCCAACAGCACACTCCAGGCCTTGCCCCGTCTCGCTGTCGTGGCTTCCCTTGGGTGCAGTGCTGAGGGAGCAGGGTCAGACCTCAGGAGGTGGCACTAGGGGACTCCATCCATTCTTTCCACGAGAGATTAACTAGGGCTGACCACACACATATGAAAGCTGCACGCGATGCCACACCTCTCAATTCGGAACGCTTGTCGGGTGCTGGGCTCCCTGGAGGGAAGCAGCCACGCTTCCCGGGGTGCTGGGTCGTGTCCAGCCTTTCACTGAAGATGTGGGGTCCCACGGAGGGACAGACAGGCCTGTCAGCGCTCCGCTTGCAGCTGAGGCCTGCTTCTCCCACCCTCTCAGCAGTCTGGCTTGGCACTGGGACAAAGCACTGAACCGATGCAGAGTTGGCACCCGAGGCTCCCCAGGGGCCTCCGTCCTGCTGGGGCTGCATCCCACGGGGGCTGCATCCCACGGGGGCTGCCTCCGGCCTGGCCTGCCCACCCTGCCCTGCCTCTTGGAGTCACTCCTGAACTAGAAGGCTAGAAAGTGCTGGCATCCCCAGAGTGGCCAGCCCCAGAGCACACACGGGCAAACAGTGGCAAACGCCAGATCAAAACACGGGCTGAGCCAGGAAAGGACCGTCTTTGTCCACACATGACAGTGCATCCGACGTGGCCGGCAGCGTGAGGGGGAGGCATCCCCAACCCCGTGTGCATGGCACAGGCCCCCACACCCAGAAGCCTGCTTCCGCAGGGAACCCACTTGTACCCTGACCCGCAGGGGCGTGCCCCAAACCCTGTCACATGCTCCAAGTGCCCAGTCACAGGTCCAAGTGTGACATGCCTACATCCCAGGCCACCTCCAGCCGCTGCAACAGACAACTCAGTCCATCAGAATCTGCCTTCTGGGGACGGCTGTGTTGGCGGTCAGGGGCCCCAACTGCTGTGCCAGCTGGGCCCAAGGCAGGTCACCTGGACGGCAGCAGCACAGCCCTGGTCACTCACACCATGGAACAGAGGTCGAACCAGCTGCTCCTAGGAACTCAACCTCTGTGGCTGCAGCGTCACAGGGGAGTGGAAGCGAGGGGCACCACCTCCCCGCGTGCTCCCGTGGGTACAGCGTACAGCGAGGACAGGGACAGGCCCAGGCCCGGGAGGCGCCGTCAGCGGCGTGTCCTCTGCCACGCCTGCAGCAACAACATGCTTACTTGTAGCCTCTGCCGACAGACTTGAGGCAGTCGAGGAACTGTGGCACCTCGTAGTTCACGAGGGTCTTGAGCTGGCCGTCGCCCACGCCGTCCCGGTACACGATAATCCGGCTGGGCATGTACTCGTTACAGCTGTTCCAGGCCCTCAGGGCAGCTGCGAGCGCCAGGCCGTCAGCCAGCCGGGCCTGCCCCGAGCCCGCCCACCCCGCACCCCGGGGCCGCGCCACACCCACCTTGCAGACAGACCTTCAGCCCGTCCACAAGTTCCTGTCCCCTGTCCTGAAACACACAGCGCGAGAACCAGCTATTCAGGAAAAAACACAGAGGTGAGAAGGCGCAGGCCTGGGGCTCGCGGACCGCATCCACCACGCTGGCGCCACCCTCCTCCACCCCTCAGGCCGCCCGCTGCGCCTCACGCTGCTGCAGGAGTGGCGGGAGCCGTCAGCCGCACCATGTCCCAAGCTCACACTCCTCAGCCAGTGACTGGGGTGGGACAGCACCCATACCCCTAGGCCCACAGGGAACGGTCCCCCCCAGGCCACCCCCTCAGCACACAGGGAACGTCCCCCGGCCCAGCAGTCAATGCTCGCTCTGCACTGCCCGTTCCTGCAGGGAGCAGTTTCGCCAGGCCGTAACCTCAGAAGAGCCGGCAGGCAGCTGCAGGGCGGGGGCAGCCCTGGACGCAGCTGAGCCTCACACAGGTAGGATCGGGAGCCATTGCCCTCCTTCCTCAGACTGTTGGACAGAAGAGCCAGCACAGTCACCATCCTTCACAGGTCCTGGGGTGCCAGCCCTGGCCTGGCAGCCCCCCACCTCACCCTGCCGCACTCACCGTGTCATCCCCTCATTTATGCTGGCGACAAATCCCGCGATGGATCTCCGGCCTGCCGTGGTGTCATGGTAGCAATCGATGCCAACAATCATGGCCAGCTTCAGCTGTGACGAGAGCGCTGTCCCATCACAGCCCGCCCTCGGCTGCGCCCAGCCCAGCCAGACCTCAGCAGCCCTGCCTCACGCACTTACAGGCATGTCCACTCGCCACAGCTCGCCGCCCATCTTGCAGTTCATCTGCAGGGCGATCTTGGTGGCGATGGCCATGACCGTCTGCTGCTTGCCCAGGGTCCGGGCTACCACGCACTGGCTCGGGGTCGGGCAGTCTGTGCAGAGGTACTTCTTGATGGCGTCGTACTTGTCCTTGCGGTTACTGGACAGCAGACAGACCACCTGCACACAGACAGCACGGCCCGGTCACCGGTGGACACCTGGCGCCGAGCTCTCGGCAAACGGCCGCGGCAGCTACTCACTATCTGTGTATCTGAGGTGACCTTCTGCTGCAAGACTCTCAGGTAGGCTTCCGTCCTATCGTCCACTTCAATCCTGGGACAGGGCAACGGACGCAGCATCAGCAGAGGGCCCAGAAGGGACCCGAGAGGGGAGGCCAGGAAGGCCCTTTGGGGAGACGACGTGGCCCACGGCACGCCTGCTCTCCTCTGCTTCCCATTCCCCATCAACCACATGGCCTGCTTCCACATGTGGCAGCCACGGTGACAGCCCATGTCCAGTGAGCTCTGCGTGCCACTGCTCCCGTACTTGGGAGACCCCATGCCTTCCAGGCACGAGCAATCGTGCGCAGAGCGGAACAACTGGACGTGCTCACATGATTGCCTTTTTCATCTGTATGCCCATGGCCGGCGTGACTTTGAACAGGTTCTGGATCAGTGAATTGGCTGCTTCGTAATTCCGTCGAGTATAGATCAACAGCCAGTTATCCAGCGGCTTCACACTGATTAATGGTGCTCCCCGGGTTTCCTTGGACCAATCTGCAAACTGCGGGTTGTAATCAAACTGGAAGAAAGGTGACAGCAAGTCAGATCCACGTGGCTTTCTGTGACAAAGCCCCAGTGTCTGCAGATCTACCTGGGCAGGTACAGAGCACACACGCCCGAGGAGCCTCACGTGGTGGTCAGCAGGTGCCAGGTGCTCAGGCCGGGGCACACGCTGCTGCTCCTCCCTCTCTCAGGGCCATCCCATGTCCTCCCTCTCACAGCACCGTCCTCCCTCCGTCTCACAGCGCCGTGCTCCCTCCCTCTCACAGCACCGTCCTCCCTCCCTCTCAGCACAAGACAGGGTGAGCAGCTGCTGCTGGGAGGCACTTGGCCTCCTTCCACCAGAGGTCCTCCCGTGCAAGCAGGGGGGTCAGCAGTAGCAGCTGCAGAGGGATCCCGTGGGGACAGTCCTCTGCACGGCCCAGGCACAAGGAAAGCCCACCAGCTGGGGAGTGTCACTCGGCGACCACAGTGCGGGGCAGCCCCGTCTGGCCGCGAGCACAGGGCCAGGAGGGAGTGGGCAGAGCGGCAGTGGTCACACTGTGCGCTCCTGCCTGCCCCTGGCCCTCGCGGCCCTTCCAGCAGCACCGTACCGTCTTCCCGCCTTGGTGGATCTTCTCGGCCTGCAGGATCCGTCCCGAGAAGGACAGCAGGTTGGAGTCAAAGCTCAGGCCCCAGTCCCGCAGCTCCCGCTGCACGTTGTCGTCTCTGCAAGGCAGCACGCCGGGGCCTGAGCGCAGGCCAGCCCCACGAGGCCCAGCAGCACAGGGCTCAGGTGGCCAGCACAGGCCCTTCCTGCCCCACGGCTCGTCCTTCCCCACCCCGCCCTGCCCTGCCCGAGGCGAGCTGGGCACGCACAGGAGGTGCCACGCAGCCAGCCGCCCTCACTTGTGGATGTAGTCAATGAGCCGTCCCACTTCCCGCTGCCTCTGCTCGGGGGTCAGCCTCGTGTGCACCGCCAGGTCTTTCATCACATTGAAGTCATTCCGCATTTTGTCGGTCAGACCTTTGAGCACAGCATACAAACGGCTAAGGCCACAGGACTCACAACCATGTCTACACTGCGTGAACCACGTCTGAATGGCCTGAGGCATGTGGGTGCTGCCATGTGGAAGCAGAGGGCCTTCCCGAGGTGCCCCCTGGGAGGGCAGCGTCCAGGTGCGGGTGCACAGCCGTACCTGTGAGGTAGCAGAGCTCAGGGATGAGCATGGCGGGTCCTGGCAGCGTGCCCCCGGGGCCGCGCCTCCTCTTGGGCTGGCTGACCAGCACCGGTTGCTTCAGGTCCGTGATTTCCTGGTTGTATTGCTGCAGAGACACAAGTGTCGGGTCCCAAGTTCACAGCACGGCAGGGCTTGTGGCTGAGGCTCGCTTCTGGGGCAGCAAGGGTGGGGCGCTGCCAGCCACCTCTGCCCAGTGCAGCTGCCCTTCGCATGCTCCCAGTAGGCAGGCACTTGGGCACACAACTTTCCCAGCCCCTCCTCCCACTCACTGGGTGTAGCCCTGAACGCCAGGACCACTGGACCGTCCTCGGGTCCTACCAGCCAGGGACAGTGCACGGACCTGTCATGGGGAGGTGCCATGCTGTGACTTCCAGGGCTCTGTCCCAGAATCACGGTGGAATTCCCAGAGCAGGGGAGGCAGACATGGCCACATGGCTCAGGCAAGTTCTCCCATGTGGCCCAGTCCAGGAGCAAGGGGGCAAGTTGGGGGAAAAGGCAGCCAGCAGAGGCAGGTGCCGCAGTGCCCGAAATAGGACGGGACCAAGGGCATGCTGCCTTGGTGCTGCCTGCTCTGGGCCGAGACCCCTTCTCAGGAGGCCATCAACCTTGTCCTATCAGGCAGCCATCGCCCCTAGAGCCAATGCCCCCGGCAGAAGAGGGGCCATCCGGACTGAGTCTGCATGAAGCTGATGGCAGGAAATGCCAGGAGTGCACAGCATGGCACCCACGAGGTTGCATTCTGCTGCCCCAGGCCTGGCCTGTCTTTCCCGCATGTCCGCGAAGCCTCGGTCTTGGCCAAAAGCCCCCCGGATGGACCTGCCCTCACCTTCTGGTAGTACTCCAGGAAGCTGACCTCGGAGCCGTCAGCCTTCTTAAAGGTGCTCTTGGGGCTCTGGTCCCAGTCGATGTCGTCCACGCGGTACGTCTTGTTGTTGTACCTAAGGAAGGGTCCAGTTTGGCCCGTGCTCCGGGACACCTCCCAGACACACCGCCCCGGCCCCGGGGGCTCGCTTCAGCTGCAGGCTCACTTGGTGAGGACGATCAACCCAATCAGTTCCTTGGAAACTTGTTCTTGGAACTTGTGCTCCTCCGTCTGGTGGTACAGGTTGAACATGAAGTCCAGGACTGTCTCGCTGCGCAGCACCTTGTGGCTGACGTCAGTGCACAGCATGATGTTGTTCTCGTACTGTAGGATGGAGGTGGTGAAGCCGGGCCAGATCACCAACCTGCCGGCGAGCGGTCACGGTCAGGGCAGCGTGGACACTCACGGACACTGCGAGTGGGGCCGGGGGCTACAGCCATGCTGGGGCTGACAGCACCGCCTGGCCTGCACTCGCTGAAGCTCCACCGGAGGGCGCTGTCCCCTCAGCGTGAGCCCCCGTGCTGGGCTGAGCTGGGCTGGGCCAGGTGCGTTCTAGTCCCCCCAGCTCTGATGGGGACACAGCTCTCCCTGGACCGGGAACCTTCCACTTATACAAACCTGTGATTGGGAATATCTATTGGGTCACTTGGGTTGTAATAGTTGCGTCCAATTTGTTGCAAATTCATGATTTTCAAAAGCCTGGAAGGTGGAAGGTCAGCACAGTTAGAGGGCAGAGGAGCAATAAGCACCATGACCCTCACCCAGGGGTTGCTGTCCCACGCGGCACGGGCTGCACGCCCGGGCACCACAGCCCTCACCCAGGGGCCGCTGTCCAAAGCAGGCTGCACAGTCAATCCTTGGAGCCCAGGTTTTCATAGGTGGGAAAAACCAAGATTCAGAGACACACCGATTCCATGAATCCCAACCTCAGAGCATAGCTGCTCACTTAGTGGGCAGACGGCCATGCCGACACCCCTCAGGACCAGCGGTCACCTCTCATGGGCACACGGCCATGCCTACACCCCTCAGGACCAGCGGTCACCTCTCATGGGCACACGGCCATGCCGACACCCCTCAGGACCAGCGGTCACCTCTCATGGGCACACGGCCATGCCTACACCCCTCAGGACCAGCGGTCACCTCTCATGGGTACACAGCCACACCCCTCAGGACCAGCGGTCACCTCTCATGGGTACACAGCCACACCCCTCAGGACCAGTGGTCACTGCTCATGGGCACACGGCCACATCCACACCCATCAGGACCAGCGGTCACCCCTCATGGGCACACGGCCACATCCACACACCTCAGGACCAGTGGTCACTGCTCATGGGCACATGGCCTACACCCCTCAGGACCAGCGGTCACCTCTCATGGGCACACGGCCACACCCCTCAGGACCAGGAGTCACCCCTCATGGGCACACGGCCACACCTCTCAGAACCAGTGGTCACTGCTCATGGGCACACGGCCACTCCCCTCAGGACCAGCAGTCACCCCTCATGGGCACAAGGCCACATCCACACCCCTCAGGACCAGTGGTCACCTCCCATGGGCACAAGGCCACATCCCTCAGGACCAGTGGTCACCCCTCATGGGCACACGGCCACACCACTGAGAACCAGTGGTCACTGCTCATGGGCACATGGCCACATCCACACCCCTCAGGACCAGCGGTCACCCCTCATGGGCACACGGCCACATCCCTCAGGACCAGCGGTCACCTCTCATGGGCACACGGCCATGCCTACACCCCTCAGGACCAGTGGTCACTGCTCATGGGCACACGGCAACATCCACACCCCTCAGGACCAGCGGTCACCCCTCATGGGCACACGGCCACACCCCTCAGGACCAGTGGTCACTGCTCATGGGGACACGGCCACACCCCTCAGGACCAGCGGTCACTGCTCATGGGCACACGGCCATACCTCTCAGAACCAGTGGTCACTGTTCATGGGCACACGGCCACATCCACACCACTGAGGACCAGTGGTCACTGCTCATGGGCACACGGCCATGCCTACACCCCTCAGGACCAGTGGTCACTGCTCAGGGGCACACGGCCACACCCCTCAGGACCAGCAGTCACGGTTCATGGGCACACGGCCATGCCTACACCCCTCAGGACCAGCGGTCACTGCTCATGGGCACACATCCACACCCCTCAGGACCAGTGGTCACTGCTCATGGGTACACGGCCACATCCACATCCCTCAGGACCAGCGGTCACCCTTCATGGGCACACATCCACACCCCTCAGGACCAGTGGTCACCCCTCATGGGTACACGGCCACATCCACACCCCTCAGGACCAGCGGTCACTGCTCATGGGCACATGGCCATGCCGACACCCCTCAGGACCAGTGGTCACTGCTCATGGGCACATGGCCTACACCCCTCAGGACCAGCGGTCACCCCTCATGGGCACACGGCCACACCCCTCAGGACCAGGAGTCACCCCTCATGGGCACACGGCCACACCACTGAGAACCAGTGGTCACTGCTCATGGGCACACGGCCACATCCACACCCCTCAGGACCAGTGGTCACCCCTCATGGGCACACGGCCACATCCACACCCCTCAGGACCAGCGGTCACTGCTCATGGGCACATGGCCACATCCACACCCCTCAGGACCAGTGGTCACCCTCCATTGGCACACGGCCACACCCCTCAGGACCAGTGGTCACCCCTCATGGGCACACGGCCACATCCACACCCCTCAGGACCAGTGGTCACCTCTCATGGGCACACAGCCACACCCCTCAGGACCAGTGGTCACCCTGTATGGCCACATGGCCACACCCCTCAGGACCAGTGGTCACCCTTCATGGGCACACGGCCACATCCACACCCCTCAGGACCAGCGGTCACTGCTCATGGGCACACGGCCACATCCCTCAGGACCAGTGGTCACTGCTCATGGGCACACATCCACACCCCTCAGGACCAGCGGTCACTGCTCATGGGCACAAGGCCATGCCTACACCCCTCAGAACCAGTGGTCACTGCTCATGGGCACACGGCCACACTCCTCAGGACCAGCGGTCACCCCTCATGGGCACATGGCCATGCCTACACCCCTCAGGACCAGTGGTCACCCTCCATTGGCACACGGCCACACCCCTCAGGACCAGTGGTCACCCCTCATGGGCACACGGCCACATCCACACCCCTCAGACCAGTGGTCACCTCTCATGGGCACACAGCCACACCCCTCAGGACCAGTGGTCACCCTTCATGGGCACACAGCCACATCCACACCCCTCAGGACCAGCGGTCACTGCTCATGGGCACACGGCCATGCCTACACCCCTCAGGACCAGTGGTCACTGCTCATGGGCACACGGCCACATCCACTCCCCTCAGGACCAGTGGTCACTGCTCATGGGCACACGGCCACATCCACACCCCTCAGGACCAGCGGTCACCTCTCATGGGCACACGGCCATGCCTACACCCCTCAGGACCAGCGGTCACCCCTCATGGGCACAAGGCCATGCCTACACCCCTCAGGTCCAGTGGTCACTGCTCATGGGCACACGGCCACACCCCTCAGGACCAGTGGTCACTGCTCATGGGCACACGGCCACACCCCTCAGGACCAGTGGTCACTGCTCATGGGCACACGGCCACACCCCTCAGGACCAGTGGTCACTGCTCATGGGCACACGGCCACACCCCTCAGGACCAGCCATCAGCCCTCATGGGCACATGGCCCTCCTCCCACCATCCCATAGGGCTAGTGGTCACCCTGTATGGGCACACATGACTGCAGCACTGCTATGCCAGCTGGCCAAGGCTGGAGCAGGCACCGTCACGCCTCACACCCGCATGTGGCTCCCAGCTTCTCCACACGCCCCCCCCGGAGGCAGATGGCAGCCCAGATCCTGGGGTTTCTGCCACCCCACGGGAGACCCAACCCTGCAGTGGGGACAGACATCTGGGGAGTGAGCCAGGGGCTGGAAGGTCAGTGGAAAGCCAAGCGCTGTGCCCCTGGCTTCTCACACAGTTCTGTCCTGTCCTGCCTGCTTCTCACCCAGAGAAGAGGAAGTTGCAGCGATGGCCCGGAGGCAGGCAGCATGCCCGGTAGGACCACCACCCAGGCGAGCCCATCCGTGGGGGAACGCACGAGCTGGGTCAACTCTGGGGACATCCGTGAGTCACAGAGCACTACAGTGCGCCAACACCAAGCTCCGGCCTCAAGCAAGGCGGGGGGCTCTGTGTCAGGCAACTGCACCCCAAAACAGCCCGTCAGAGCCAGCCAGCAGTCCCACCAACGGCGCACCGCCCTGCGTGCCCCCACCTCCTGAAGATGATGTTGTAGAACTGCAGGCAGGTGGGCGACGTCGGCGGGAGCTCATTGGTCAGGGTGATGGTGATCCTTACACGCTCCCCGTTCCGGGTTTGGCTGAAGACTTCTGTGACCTGAGGACAGAGCGGCAGGAGGCAGGGCTCAGAGGGAGGCGCCTGGGGCTGGGGAGCCGCAGCTCCGGCCTTGGTGGGGTGCCTCCCTCCCCTGACCCACAGCTGCACTAACCTTGTGCTGAAGTCTTTTGGGTAAAAACAGGATTGTCCCATCGAAGGCGTGACACCTTCCAATGAGGTCTTCGTGCTGGAAGAGCAGGGCAGAGCGCAGCCTCCTGGCCTCCATCAGCGGGTTGTAGTCGATGTGGTACTGGTACAGGGCCCACTGGGGCCGGGACGTCAGCCGGAAGTGGTTAGTACTCAGCCTGACAATGATGCCAGAGGAACCTGGGAAAGGCGGCCACCAGTGTCGGCTCACCCACAGCGCCGGCTCACACGTGCTCGCCCACGGAATCCGTGCTGCGCAGGGCGGCAGCATGGCACTACCGACACAGGGCCAGCTGCAGCCACCCACATGGCAGAGTGCTCACACCTCCAACTCTGGGGACCCCAGCGGCACCCACATAACAAACAACAAAATCTGTTCTCGGCTGGGAGTTCCCAGCGATCCACGCTATTTTCAATACAGCAGCCCTGAAAAGCAGGTAGCTCCAAACCCCCTGCACCCAGGCCGAGGGGGGAAGCAAGGAGACACAAACGGCGGCAGGGCCCTGGCCACACTGCAAGTCGAAGCCAAGCCCGCGGCTCAGGGCTGGTCCCGGAGCTGTGCCCGTGGGGCCCACCTGTCTTTGATTCTTTGACATGGTCCAGGTTCTGCCTTGTATTCACACCAAGATCATGGAAGTCTCTGCGCCGACCCCCTCTCTCTGCTAATGACAAATCCTGAAATCCAGCAGATATTTGCATTTCTTAAAGAGAGAGAGAGAAATTATGTGTGGCCACCGTGGAGACAGGACATGCAGCAACTGTCACGGATTGCAACAGCCACAGCACGCTGACAAGCCGCACCAGTGCTCTTGGGCCAAGAGGGCAATTTTAGTTAAATGTCGCCCAGGTCTTTCTTGCCATGCCCCGGACCCTCTGCTGCCTCAGACATGCACCCTGCAAACATCCCTAGAGCAGGTGCCCATGTGGACTTGGCACACCTACACCACCGATTCTCTGCGCATCTGGACTCTTGTGGCCCCTCACGCGCACTCCCAGGAGCACCTGCCACAGTCTGGCAGCGCGCAGTTTAAGTCCATGCACACATCCTAGCCTGGCACCTAGTCTGTGACCCACCGCCTCGCCTCTGGATCCTTTAAGAACGAGCAGCAGACAGCAGTGACACAGCAGGCTAATCCTCTGGCTGCAGTGCCGGGAGCAGCAGGCATGAACTGACACAGGCAGCCCATGCTCAGACCCTCGGCTGTGGGCCGAGAGCCTCAACGACCGAGCCACTCCATCTTGAATACTTCCCTTGGTCAAGGGCTGTGCTGCACTCATGAACACGGGCCTTCGGCAAGGCCTGCCGTGGCCGTCACGCACAGGTCGATCTCTCTTCAAACACATTTCTTTTGGGAGCCACCTGCCCAGCAGACTCGCCAGGGACAGCCTTGAGAGCGTCTGCAGCCTAAGCTGGCTGCGGCCTGCCGCGCGGTCACACCCCTGCCCCGCCGGCCGTGCCCAGAATCTGCCTGTGAGGATGCGGTGGTTCTCAGCCGCCCTGAGCCACGTGCCACCTCTGTGAAGGAGTGGGGGACTCAGGGCACAGCTCTCTGCTGGCCAGGAATGCTGGCCCAGCACTGCGCCTACCAGAACACAACAAAGCATCCTCGAGGCACGGCTGGCCTTTTCCTTGAAAAACGCAGTTCTGGATACAAAAGCCAACCTCACAGCTGTCCACTGTGACAACTTTGACCCCCACGCTCACGGCAGCGCTTCCCTGGGTGAGCGGCCAGCTGCAGAGGCAGCAGACCTCCGCACGGGCACCAGGAGACCCTGCTCAACCTGTCCTGCAGAGTGCCAGCGTCCAGCAGGGTGACTCATGCAACCTGAGATGCCTGCCTGGTTTCTGAGCCCAGGACACCCGGTGGCGTTTACTGTGGCACGCAAACCTCACAGGAGGGAAGAATGGGCACATGGGGTCCAGGTCTGCCAACTTGCCAAGTCCCTCCTCACACAACCTGCCGTTTAGAGAACAGCCGAGTGGCCCAGAATCCAAGGCCGCTAGGAACTGTTGCTTCTCTAAACTCGTTGCCAGCGAATGTATCTTCAGGCCATAGGCCACAGCCAGCTTGAGCAGCCTTAGCAAGTCCTTCGTAACTGCCCAGTGAAATCCTGCTAGGGGTGCTGAACAGACACGCCTAGCCTTCCCCAAGCGTCAGGGTTACAGGGGAAAGGAACCCATTAAAAGCCTGACATGCCAAAGTGGTGGTGGCACCCCATCCGGGCCCTGAGCGCTTCAAGCCTCAGCCGCTCCCTGCTTCTGAGCACCCACAGAGGAACCCGGCCCTGGCTTCTGCCTGCTGTGGCCGTCGGGGCAGGGCACCAGGGGGTGGAAGACCTCTGGGCTCTGCTCCCATGCCAGCTTCCTAATGCAGACCTGGGGGGGACAGCCACAAGCAGGCACACCCAGTTATCTCCTGTTCCCTTACTCTTCTTGCCCCCGGACCACTCAGCATCGACGTCGGAGACCCTCACACCAGCGACCTAGACTTGGTATTTGCAACAATTCAGAGAACAGGTGCAGTACTGGCAGCTGGAACCGGCTGAATCCACCAGCTGCTGGCCTTGTCCTGTCAGCTGACCTGGGGACACGGCTACATGACAGTTGCTCAGGCTCTGGGTCAACTACTGCAAAACTCAAGCTGCTGGGAGAACAACCTGCTGAGCTCCTGAGAGGGAGCAGAGCCCGGGCCTGGCTCCCAGCGAGCCCAAGGACAGGGAGAGGCTGGGACTGCCTGCCGCAGGGCCCAGCAGTGACCACTCACTCCGTGGCCACGCTCCACGCGCCTGCAGGCCGCTCGCTCCCTTCACCTTGCGCCTTGGAGGCTGGTCCCGGTGCTCCTCTCTGCCGTCCGCGGCCCACCAGCTCACTCTCTGCCAGGGGCTGTTGAGGTCGTGGCGGGGCATACCCGGGAGGCTGGCTCTGCGGGCAACACAATCAGCCCTTCTTACTGGCTGCAAGAGCCAGTCCCACCGGAGCTCCGGACCCAGGCTCACGCAGCCCCCTCCCCTCGGGCCAGGGAGCACTCACCATGACAAGCTGTGCCGTCTCCTGCCCACGGGCCCGTCCACGGGCCCGAGCCCGGGCCCGACCAGTCATCGTGTTCTTTCTCCAGAGGAAACCTGTGTGAAGGAGACAGGCGACATGCACAATCCACAGACCAAGGGTTTTCATCACTGGAAGCGGCACCTTCTTTCTCACCCGGGGTTTCCTGGGCTGCTTGTGCCGGCTGTCGTGGAACAAGGTGCTTTTCAGCAGAATTCTCTAGAGCAGCAGTGGGAGGAAGACACTGGCGCCTGGCCCACACTCCCCACAGGCCTGGGGACTTTGCCCCATGCCGCCCGGTCCCACATGCCACCCACAGGGAATTCCCCTCCGTCGTGTGCCCACAGGAGGCGGCACCAAGGCGCAGTCACCCACCTCCCGTCTGCCTGAGGTCTCAGGGCTGTCACCTGCCCACCACCCTCACCAGGGAAGAGACCCCAGTGTCACCCTGTCACTAAGGGGCCAGGCACCCAACCCTGACTTCCCCATTTCAGACAAGCGACCCTGGACGCTGGCTGAGTGCAGGTGGAACCACCTTGCCACAGGCCCTGGCCAGGACTGTATGGGAGACGCACACGTGGACCCGCCAGGTCCTGCGCTGGCCCAGCACATGGACACACCTGATCCTGTGCTGGCCCAGCACATGGACACACCGGATCCTGCGCTGGCCCAAAAACACGCACAGACAACAGTCGCCGCCTCCACGCTCAGCTTCTCGCTACACCCAATCCCACCCTCACCTTCGCTCTCGGGTCCAGGCTTGTACAAGCACCAGCCTTCCCCGGCCAGGGAACGGCCTCCCCAACCGTGAATGTAAAGCACACAGGGACGTCCTCTCAGAGACAGTGGTCACCAGGCCACAGGGACGTCCTGAGACAGGGCGGTCACCAGGCCACAGGGGGCATGTCTGGCCTTTTGGAGGATAGCCAGCACACTACAGCAAGTCCTTGCTGGGTGACATCTCCCCCACACCCAGCCACAGGTAAGAAACGAGGCTGGCCAAGGAGCTGGAGGCGCTCTGTGGGCCAGGGGAGCAGCTGCTGCCGAGCCACAGCTGGCTCTCGGCATGCAAACGGGGCGGGGGTGGCGCGGGAAGGCCGGCTGCAGCTGAGCCACTCCCGGCCGGGCGCTGGCCATCGTGCGTCCGCCAGAGTGGGCCCTGGGAGGCAGCCGAGACCCTCAGGGTCGGGTCACCGCACCGGGCGCAGTCTGCTCCACGTGAGGGAGTTCGGGAGCGAAACGGTGCCGACGGGAAGGGCGGCCTCCGCCCCGCTTCTCCCGCTCAGCGAGCAAGCAGGCGGGCCAGCGGCACCCGCAAGCCGGGAAGCCCCGGGGAGCCCACCTGCTCAGCAACCTGCCCTCCACCCACGCAGGCGCCGGTGTTAACACCCGGACCAGCCGCCTGCTGGGCGGACTTCAGCCCCGCGCGCACCCCATTCCGCCCTCACCCCAGCCACAGCCAGAGGCCTCCTCCGGCCTTTGTGTCCGGGCGACAGAGCGGCCCGGGCGCGCGTGGGACAGCTACCCGCCCGGGCACCACCCGGGTGCGGGGACAGGCAGGAGCCGGCGCGGGTCTGCGCGTGTTCGAGGCCGCGGCCCGGCTGAGTGCTCGTACCTCCTCCCGAGGGGCCTGTCGGGGACCAGGGTCCCACCCGGCAGCCCGCACCTTACCGCCTGGGCGCGGAGCGAAGCACGGCGCCGCCGCGGAGGAGCGAGCCGCCGCCTGCCGCCCGCGCGCCCGGGCGCCAACAGCCGCAACGGCCGCGGATTCCTCCGCGCGCGGCCCGCGCGCGCCCGCGGCCTGGTGGGCGCCGCCCGCGGCCTCGTTTCTGGGCGGACGGACCCCGGGCCCGTGAAGAGGCCGGCCTCGAGCGCCACGAGGGCCCAACGGCGCGCCGCGCGCCCTGATTGGCCTCCGCGAGGACGGCCGTTGTGCAGGGCCCGGCCCCGCCCGGGCTGCGCCCACGGGCCGCGTGTTCCTGCGCGGGGCCGGCCTCGAGGGCCGCGGGCGCCGGGCCCACGCCCCCCGGGAAGGGGCAGGCCGGGTCGGCCGCCGGGAAGCTGGACGCCGTGGCTGCCTGCTGGGGCGCTCGGGCCCCGCGCTCGGGCCCCGCGCCGCCCTGGGTGGATGGTGCAGCTTGATGCCGCTCCGGCCTGGGTGCGCTCCGCTGTGAGGCGAAAGCAGCACGGACGGGGCAAGCGCACACACCGTGACACACAGTAGCCTGGAGGCTGGTGCTGGCTACACGGTAGCTGAACGTTGCAGCCAGCGGGGCGTCTCTTGGCTGACAGGCCTGGACCAGGAGCACAGTTCCCCGGGGACAGGATTTGGGTGTGGACAGGAGAGGGCTGCCCCAGCCACTCCCATGCCTGAGCATTGCCTGCAGACAGTGGGCTTTTCCACTTGGGGCCTGGAGCAGAGCTCAGAGGTTGGGGCTTTGGGAGCACTTTAGTTCTCGGGTTTTCAGCTGAGCGGCGTTCAGCCTGTGCAAATGTTTCCTAGGTGGCAGTTCCATGAACGCTGTCTCAGGCGCACACTCGAGCGAGCGTGGGGAGCTGCCGGCTGCTTCCACAGCACTCACACCGCCCTCTTCCTCCCTGACGAGCTGTGTGGAGAAGGTTAGCCGCCTCCGCATCTAGTCTCAGCCAGGCAACCCTGCCTGACCTGGGCGTCCGCCCCACACGAGCCCGACTCAGTGAATTAGGGCTGGGGGCAGGGACCTAGGGGAAAATGGCTGCTCAACCAGGAGAAGTCTGAGATACGTGGGCTGAGGGCAGTGAGTCCCTGGGCGGCAGGAGCTGTGGAAGGGCGCGCTCCCGCTGAGTCCCTGCCTCTCCAAGGTGGTTTGAGATGCTGGTGGGAAAGTGGGTCCCTGGATTGCCAGCAGATGGGGCAAGACAACCAGAAATACTTGGAGCCTTAGCTTGGCCATGCTTGCCCAGACTCCAGCACCTGCTGAGGGCTTGGTTCCCCTGGGAGCCATCCCTGCGGAGTCTTGCCGTGTGGAATGGCTCCTTCCAAGCACACCAGGTTCCGTGCTGCTGGAAGGAAGGACCGCGCCTCCGATTCTGGTGGTGCCGACCCGACCCCACCTCTTTTAGCCTCATGAGGAGCCTCTTAAACAGAAGAGGACACAGATGGGGGAGCTCTGTTGGAAGTTTCCCTCGGTGCCAGCACAGGGTGGGGTAGATGGCACACGGATGCAGATCCGAGTGCGAAGGTGTGGACCGGGAGGTGGTATGATGCTGACCGCCCGCTGCAGGAAGGGGCAGCCGGGAGCTGCCGGGGTCCCTGCATGGCCTAACGTGGTGGCTGTGGGTATGGGGCACAGGTGACGGGGAAGGGCCAGACCAGGCACTACAGGGCGACTTTAGCAGCAGGCATGCTGTGGGCCAGGGTTTCCCCCTGGGCCTCTGACCTCTGTGATGACCCAGGAGGGGTCAGGGCCTACTCACCCTCCTGCTGGGACCTGAGGGCAGGGGCTCTCTGAGTCTAATGTCCTTGGGGGAGCTGTTTGCGATTTAAGGTGGAGAAATGAGTGATTTCTGCATCTTTCCCCTGCACCCCTGCCTGCCCATCAGACCCCTCGCTCTCCCCTGCACCCCTGCCTGCCTCTCCGGCCTCTGCTGGCCAGTCTCCCTCTGTCCTTCTCTACTGCGGCTTCCTCCTTGCCGCGCTCACATCTAGCCTCCCTTGGAGCCTGCTGGGAATGCAGATGCGTGAAGTCCCCAGTGAGGGTGACCACGGCACTGGTTCCAGCTGGGTGACACACCCTGGAGAGCCCTGGGTTAAGAGGATAAGCACAGCCCAGGAGCTTCCCACACCTGTGGGTCTGGGAGCCCAGACCAGAGGGAGCCCACAGAGCCTGGGCCCAGCCTTGGCAACACTGTGTCCTGGAGCAGAGACACGTTGCAGTTTGGATTGGCTGAAGGAATGGCACTGTAGACATGTCTGGGAGTGTGAGCAGGTCTCAGCTCCCTAAACCCGATTCCCTATCACTGCATCAATTGGCTAATCCCCCCGTAAGCACTGGGATCCCGCGTGGATGCCAGTTGCTGTCCAGGCAGCCCGCTTCCCGTCCAGCTCCCTCCCTGTGGCCTGGGAAAGCTGAGGACAGCCCAAAGCCTTGGGACCCTGCACCTAGGTGGGAGACCCAGGAGAAGTACCTGGCTTCTGGCTTCAGATCAGCTCAGCTCTGGCTGTTGTGGCCACTTGGGGAGTGAACCAGCAGACGGAAGACCTGTGTGTCTTTCCTTCTCTCTGTAGATCTGCCTTTCCAATAAACTGAAATAGATCCTTAAAAAAAACACCTGAAAACCCCCACCTTTGTAGGGCCATCATGAAAAGCAGATGCGTGGTGTAACAGGCCTTCAGTGCCCCCGCCGAGGTGCAGGTGTAAATCGTGTTTCGCTGAGGTGGGGCTGGGAACCTGTTAGCATGGGCAGTCGTAGTTACTTTGCATTTGTTTATTTTAATGAATGCAGGCTCTTGCTCATTTGAAAATAAGTGATGAGACATGGGGAATTTTCACTATGCTAAATTTTGTTAATGAGAAAAGGGATAATGGAGCCTTAATTGGGTTGAAGTTAGTCTTTGTACTTGAAGGAGGCTCAGGTGCCGGGGAGCAGCTGAACGCCGTCACACGGCAGAGCCAGCCGGCGGAGGCGCACCTGCGCCCTGCAGGCGCAGCGCACACGCAGCACCTGCGTCTCCTGAAGCGCCACTCCGGGGACGCAGTGCGCGGCTGTACTAGTCCCTGCCTTCCAGAGGAAACACTGCAGGAATTAAGCCAGTTGCCATTCCTTTTAATCCTCACTGGGAACACTTTCTTTGTGTGTGTGTGTGTGTGTGTGTTTTAAGATGTATTTATCTGAAAGGCAAATCGTGGGGGTAGGTGTGGGGGCAGGTGAGAGCCGTAGAGGATTTCCATGTGCTAGTTCATTCTCCAAGTGGCTGCAGTGGCGACGGCTGGGGCCGGGGCACGCCAAAGACTGGAGCTTCCTGCAGGTTTCCCCCGAGGTGCGGGGGCCCAAGCTTGGGCCGTCAGCTGCTG